TTGCACACAGGCCCTCCGAGATTTTTCGCCCTTGTCCGAGAAGGCTAGGTGTAGATCTTTCCTACCAGAAGATCAGGGGTGTGGCAGAAAGACAGTAGTAAGGAGGAGCCAAGGAGTAGCAGTAGAAAGGCTGCAGAAAGAGTCAGGAGCCCAGAGGAGGGGTCAAAGGAGGTGAGGGGGTGGGGGCAGAAAGTGGAAATAAAAGCTAGAGAGCAGGAAAGGAGGTGAAAGGAGACAATTTTAGAGAAGAAAATTTTTCTATCGCTACCAGGATTCGAACCCGGGACCTTTGAATGAGAGGCCAACACCTTAACCTGTAGGCCACGAGAGCCCCTGGTCATATAAGTGCCCAAGATTAGAGGTATTACTAGAAAGTATACCAAAAAAAGAGGAGGGATAAGGATGGTGCATTTGATAGGAAAGAAGGAGCAAACCATATCAGAGCATCCGACAATCACCCACCAACCATGACACTGACATCTTTCATACACAGTAACGAAAGGAAAAACACACCATTTTGAAAAAAACAAACTTGCATCAACAAACGTGTCACTACAAGACAGTGATCACGTATCAAGCTGGTGTAAAAGAATCAAGCATATTCCACTCAATGATATTATAGTAAAGGAATAAAAACAGCAACAACATCTACACAAAATCTTTTTGAAAATCAAAATTAAATGACAGAATAATAAACAAAAAATATCTCACTTGAATATAGCCATCTTCTCCTTCCCCCCCACCCAAGTGGTTTTCCATCAAATAGCTTCTTTTAACAACACTTCTTCCTCTTGCTTATAAGTAGCCATTTCCTTCTCCACGATCACTGAGGTCACACAGATGACCAAAGCACACATAAATATTTACCTGTACTTATCGCCATAATAGTCAATCTTGTGTCTCTTCTCTCTCTTGTCCTTAGAGGTAAGCAGGCCACAAACTTTCATCACCAGGTCACTGCCACTGAAACATACCATAAATATGTTGACCTTTTGTGTCTTGACAGATGATTTTAAAGCAGTATGCGTGTTACAGCTTTGCCTTGGTGACAGGCATAGAAGAAGAGGAGTGCCCCAGTACTACTTCTCACTCTTTAGATCTTGACTTCTGGATCAATAACAAAACAAACTGGTTTCATAGGAGATCTTGACTTCCCTGAAATGCTCCAAAGGTGAGACATCATCAATACGTTTGAAATCAAGGAAGTTGCGGGATGTGTACCACAAACACACTGTATTTCTATGACCAACATGCTTCTCATGGGAATAAACCAGTCTTTTGTTTATGCTATCAGATTCACAACTTCAACTCTTGTCCTGCGTCTGTGCCAAGATGCGAGTCTTATCAGTAGGCTAACCTATTACGTTGGATGTTCCCGGCGGGCAGCCGAGGTCACTAAGCGTATACTGTTAGAGTACAGCGAGCGGAACTGGAAATGTGAGTTTTCCCCGTGAAGGTGCGTTAATCAACTATGAAAATAATGCTCTATCTTTTATAGCTTTCTATTTATAAAGTGTTACGAACACATAAATAACCCCCCCTCATAAGCTGAAAAGACATTACGAGTAGTCACTCCCATTCGAATACCCCGTTTAGACGCTCTTGTAGTTACGAATGATCTGGGGTTTAGTTTAGTTTTAGTAGAGGTTTTACGGCGCTTGCAACTGCATAAGGTCATATGAGCGCCAGAAGATTAGAGCTGTTACAAGAGAGTAACAAACATAAAAAAGATGAAGGGGAGATAAGGACGATAGATGTTCGATAGGAAAGAAGAAGCAAACCACACCAGAGCACCCGCCAACCACCCACATCTGGGGTTTGAAAGGGGATAATATACGTCAAATTCCGAATGTTTTGCTCTCAAATTGTTCTTTTTATCTGCACAATGGTATTCGAAACTATCAAATAAGCTTATTTTTATCAGGTAATATCATTTCATATAAAATCAAGCTCATTTGAAAGATTTTGTGTAGAAAAATGGAAGTCCTGCTTCCTGACTATCCTTTCGAGCTCCTCATATCTAAGTGGGCCAATTTGTTCTATTTTCATTGGACGAACATCTACAGCTACCAACTTGGTGTGTTTTGAATGAGACGCATGCCTTGGTTACGAACCAATGCAGGCGGTTCTAGAAGTAGGCCACAAACACTCACTAACTCAAGCAGACTGACACACACACACTTGAGCTGCGGGACTACAGGACCGGTCATCACGCGGATGATGATCAGTGCGCATGCACTGAGCCAGGGTCGGACAGACACAAGGCCGGAATGAAGGCGAGGTGCCGAAATTGGCTTATCATGAAACATAAAACCGGCTCCCGCGGGACAATGGTTAAGGTCATGAGAACGAATCTTGTTCCCATCCTGAAGGGCCTCGTATTACGTCAAAAGGAAAGACACATAATACAAAGTATCCTCCTTTCACTCCAAGTGGGAATGGGTACCCAGTTAAGATAATGAAAGATTTCCTCAATATGGTCGCTTTTAAGCACATGGGGGCTATTGCGAAAAATGCTGTTTTGAGAAAATTGAAGGTAAAGCTTTTGCCCCTTATTCAGTTTCCTTAAAAGACAAGGAAAGTTTTATAACCAAACAAAGAAACACACCAATGAAACCAAACTTGTCCTATAGGTAGGGCAATGCCCACTTTTGGTGTATGTCAAGATTTGTGGAAAACCCCGAAATCTGGGTTAGCCCACTTGTCCTTAAAAGCGACCATATGTTAGTGCTGCTAGCTCATTTGGTATCATACTAAACAGCTGGCCCCCGATCGGCATTCTGAACTTGGCTGGTTTTAGAAAGTTTTTCATTTTAACATGGGATTTTCTCCTTGTGATATAGATTATGATTACTGTTGTCTTTGTCATAAGCATGCCCATGAGCCTCTCTCACCCTTCCTTCTTGTCTGGCAGAGCTGAGACAGCCTCAGCCACCTTCTTGCCAGCCTGCTGGTATGCCAGGCGCTCCATCAAATTCACATCCTCCACTGAGAGCTCTTCCTCCCGCCCGATAGGACCGAGCACCTGGCAAAAGAAGGAAGCATTGATTATACCTAATTTTAGTAGTAATAGCGCTCAACTTATAAAGATAAAATAGTGAGTTCCTCGCTTCACTGAATTGGACCCTGCACTTTAAAGAAAATATGCACTTTATTTTCCTCAGCTTATAGAGCTTCAAGTGAGTACTTGGTAGTTGCCAGTTGCCGTTTAAGGAAGTTAGTGGGAAGTTATTTGACCTTTTGCACAACTTGTCTATAGCTATAAAACATCACTTTTCCCAAAACTCTATAAGAAGTTAATTTAGTTATGGTTGTCTACATGTACAAGACATCAACACCTAGAAAAAAAACAAGACAGCTAAAAAAACTGAACACGCTGCTTATATTAATTCTTCTTAAATCTTGTAAATTAACTCACCGCCCCATTGGTGACAATCGCCTTCTCGCCGGGTCTAAGGGAAAGCACTCTGGAGGCAAACTGGCCGTGCACTTTGAGAAAGTCTGTGTTCTGAGCGCTAAGGTCAGCAATGTACTTGTCAATGTCCATGCCCTGAGGAAAGCAGAGAAAAGAAATCAGAGTTTATTCTTGCCTGATTCAAAATCAGGACAGAACCAGGAAAGACGGTACAGACCTAACCACGTGTAATATTTTCAAGAAAAATGAAACAATTAGAAATACAGGTGCTCATCAAATTAATTAAATCAAAGAAACCTACTTTTATTCATTCATTGGACAATATTTATTGAAATTTTTGGGGGGCTCAATACCCATTTGGGGCATAAAAGCCCATTTAAAAACATATATCTGTGCGCATTTTTTCCTGAAAAACGTTGATCAAAGGCATAAGAAAAGTAAATTTGACACTTTTCCTAGTACACTCAAGCTTTGGAAGTGACCAAACTGTGGCGGCCATTTTCTCGCTAATTTTACCTTTAACACCAAGCGACCCCCACCTCCTTCAGTCAAATAAATCTCGACTTTTATTCAAGACTGATGGGTTGTTGTTTTTTTCACCAAAACCAAGGCTTTAAGAATATACCAATAACTCTGTATGCCCCCAAAACTGACAAGCACCTGATTCCACCGTGTCATGACACATTATACAAACTCACATGAACCTCCAGGTCCTGCAGCGTCTTGGTGCCGGCCAGCAGGGCCTTGGCGTTGTCCTCCTTGACCAGCTTAGTGACCAGGCTCTTGGCCAGGGGCATGGGCAGTGTGCGGAGGGCCACCCACACCGCGCGGTTGATGCTGTTGTTGTCGATCTTTGTGGTCAATGAGTTGAACACCACACTCAGACGCAAGTCATTAGACACTTTCTGAGGACGTGGCCAGGTGTACAGAATGATGATGCGATGTTTGTTAAGTTAGAAGTGTTACATCCTTTTCCTTACTCTTTTTTTATTGTCAGCAAAGCCAACAACTGCAACAACATCTTTTTGTTTCAGTACACAATTCGGTCATACAGATGCAGAAGATTGGAGGTGTAACAAGAGAGTAACAAACCCCAAAAAAGAAGGAGGAGAGATAGGGATGAAAGAAAGAGCAAACTACACTAGAGCACCCGCCAACTACCTACGCAACAACATCTACAAGAAAACAACATATAAAAAATACAAACAACAACATTAAATACAATAACAACAATAAAAACCTGAACAGCAGCAGCAATGTATTTTAGACATCAGAAAAGCGAGAACTTACGGAGTAGATGAAAAAGAAAAAGGAAAAAGTGCATTAACCCTTTTTGAACCATACCAGCCTAAACCCGCCTTTCGATTATGTTGCCATACCTCTTTTTACCGGTTTTCCTGATGTAGCGCCGTACCAGCTTTTACCTTTAGTGCAGGCCTAGATAAGAATATTCCACCCGAAATTCAGATGTTGAAATTTTATGTGTTTGTATGTGAAATTTCATTGAAATACTTTGCCTAGATAGAAAGCAGGAGCAATTTCTTTGCTACACCCCCTGAACCTCTGAAAAAAGCTGAAATAATTTGGTTCTTGGAAGCCATCAGCTGGATACCATTTTGATTCTGCTATGCTGACCTGCTGACCTATTTATAATAGTGGTAAGAGGGTGAACAGGGAGCCACTGACCACATGCTTAATGGCATTGTACATAAGCTCCCTTCCATGCGAGGTTTCCAGATCGGCCACAACCCACATAGTCACTGGGCGTACAGATTCCTCTTCTGAAAAGAGAACAAACAGAATGCCTTGCATGAACTTTCCTTCTTTAAAATTGAAAAAATGTCATTCTGAAAGCAAAGAGAAACTTCTTTATATCATAATTTTTGGCTCTCTTTTTTTCTTCACCTTCATTTCAGCTCTATTTTTGTTTGTTCTTCTGCCTCTCCTTCCTTGTTTTCTTCTCTCAGTTTTATTTCTCTTTTCACTTCTTTTTCTCCACCTCCCCTTTCTTCTTCTCCTTCCTGCTTTCCTTCTTCTCCTCCTCTCCTCACCATTGTCATTTTCTTCTTACTTTTTCTTCTCTTCTCCTCTGTGTTCATCTCCTCCCCTGTCTTCTCTTTTTTCATGCTTCTCCCGACTCCTCCTCCTCCTTTTTCTCTAGGCATGAAAACGGCCTCAGAGCATTGTACCAGTCTCACCTCTCTTAGTCAAGTAGACAAGACCATCTGATATAGCCGAAGTTAAGTCCTTTGCACTCAGCTCAGCAGCAAGGGCTGGGGCTGACACCCTATCTTCTCCTGAAAGTTCCAACACAGAAAAAAACCACAATATTTATACAAATACAATTCTTGAACAATTAGTTTCACAGACTAAAAGAGTGAAATATAAATCCCTTGATATCTACAAGGGAAAAAAATATAAAACGCAGGAAAACGCTCAAGGCAGATTGCCTCAAATCACTCAGAGAACAGCTGAAAATGAGTCCAAACAATGAGTTGAATGACTCAAGATACATTCCATTAGCTTGCTGAATCCCTGTTGGGTAAACAGTTACGAGTTGGAATTAAAATTTAATATAAGAAGTTATGATTTATTTCTCTTTTCTTCAAAGCATCTGTAAACCATATTGTGCTGAAAGTTGCATATAATCTTTCCATACCACATTAGCAAATTTAACTTTTATTAAGCCACATAAAAACTTAACCCTTTCCCCACCACACAAGCAAACTGACCGGCAGATCCTGTCAAGTCAACTCTGAAAGCTGGTGGGGCCAGCACTCGTGAGTTGAGGCGGGGAAGAACGTTGTCTCTCTCCATCCACCACTCCATGATATCTGTGCGGTCATTCACCTCACCCTGGGCCAAGTCCATACATACAATTATTATTGTAATAACCATCAGCAACATCATTATCATCACTATCATAATGAGAGCATTATCATCACAGCTTCATTATCATCATCAATATTACCATGAAATATTTATCATCATTATCATCATCTTTGCCATCACAAGTCTACAGCATCATCATCTTCATCAAAACAATCATTATCATTATACCACCATTATTGTCACATTCATCATCAATTGCTGTGAAGTTTTTAAAAAATAATATTCTCCTTATATTACAAGCTGCTTTCTAAAAAAGATTATTTTTTAAATTTCCAGACGCTAAATGTCCAACATTTTCCCTGAAGAGAATTACTTGGAGATCCCGGACATCTCAACAAACATGACTATATACATTAAAGCCAGAATAATAAACCATAGACAATATGATTTTACCTGTAACTTGCTTATCACGAATTACTAGGAAAAAATTTCAAAGAGCGGGGAAGGGGGTTGCACAACAAAAAGAAAAAAAAGGGGACAAGGAGGAGGAAAAAGACAAAGCGACAAAAAGAAGACAAACCCCCATAAACACGAGTGTCTTCTGACCTTGTAGACTGCCGACTGTATAACCTGCGTCTGCTTCAAAACTTCTATGACCACGGACTCCTCGAAGTTGTCTCCAAGCTGACTTTGATCAAGAGGAACGCCGTTGATCAACACTTGCGGCATGCCACTCAGTCCAGAGCGAGATACAAAGTCGTTACCTGCCTGTGAAACGGACAATGATATGGAGATACACTGCTTTCAACAATGATTTCAATTAGTTACAATGATTATAATGAAAACTACAGGTTTTTAAAGACATTTTTCATTACTCTTATCTCGTATTTACAAGAGCGTACAAGCAGTTGGTTTGATCATATTACTGTGTGTTTGTGTGTCCATGATTGAGTGTTTGTTTACCTGAGGTTAGCCCTTGTCATTTCTGTGTTTGTGTTTAAGTCAGTAAAGAGGTTGTGTAAGTGTGTGTGTGTGTGTGTGTGTGTGTGTGTGTGTGTGTGTGTGTGTGTGTGTCTGTGTGTGTGTGTGTGTGCGCGCCCATGCATGAGAGTGTGTGTGTGTGCGCCTGTGCGTACATTCATGTATGTAAGTGCGCTTGATATAAAAAGCAGGAGAGAGAGATAAGAAGAGAGAGAGAGAGAGACAGAGACAGAGAGAGAGAGAGAGAGAGAGAGAGAGAGAGAGAGAGAGAGAGAGAGAGACAGAGAGAGAGAGACAGACAGAAAGAGAGAGAAATAGAAAGAAAAAGAAAAAAAAAAGGTATGTATTTAAAAAGAAGTACAGTCAAACCTGGGTAAGACGGCCACCCATTGTAAAGGAGAAAAGTGGCCGTATAAGACAGGTGGCCGTCTTAGGCAGGACTGATCAAGATAAAGAAAACAAACCATTCCCATCATTCTGAGGTCCCAATCGAAAGTGGCCGCATTGTTGTTGATTTTGTTGTTGTTGTTGTCGGTTTGTATTTTGTTTGTAATTTTTATTTTGTTGCTGATTTGCGCAAAGGTGACAATAAAACTAAATGTATCAGTCGAGGAAGACCGAGTGCCATGTTAAAACAAACACATGGGTCGCCACCACTCGCAGAACGAGCGACCCTTCTGTCACAAGTTCATATTGTTACTTTGTTACAGACTGGGTAAACAGTGACCACTCATCTCACTTACGATTTGTGTATGAGTTCTGGGCGGGGCTTATGGGGTATGAGGGATCACACGCTTACCTTACCAGCAGCTGAAAATTGGTACCTATTGGTCAACAGTGGGAGGGGCCTACGCGACATGATCGGTTAGAGGGACTACCTAACAAAAACGACAGGTGGTTGAATTATGACGGCTCTCCCACTACACCAGGGGCCAATGCACAATTTATGACAAAACGTAATGGAGTTACTAAGGTGGCCGTCTAAGACAGGTGTTATTGCTTAGTGTGACAGGGGTTGTGTGTTAAAATATGGTGGCCGCGGCCACGTTGGACAAGTGTCCGTTTTACACAGTTAAATTATATAGAAAAAATGCAAGGGGGGAAATGAAAAGTGGCCGTTTGTACAGGTGGCCGTCTTATAAAAGTGACCGTCAGGGCAGGTTCGACTGTATGTTTATTTTTGAGCAAGCACTTGAGTGAACACACAATCAGTTGAAATCGTACTTGTACATGCGTACAATAAAGATAAAACATTGACAACTTCTCACCTTCCGCACATCATCGTAATCATCGGACTTCCCAAACACCAAATCCTTGTCCTCCCCTGGGTACTGCAGGGCAAACTCCGCAATGACAGCGTCAGCAGTCAGCTCCGCAGTTCCAGCCTTCTCATACACCTGAGACATAGGAACACCCACATTGACTCCCTGTGTCACTGGTTTTAATCCTTCAAAATACCAATCTTATCTCAGGTCTGTCCCGCCCTGGTAGTCTCAGGACCCATTAAAAAATAAGGGTTTCAACACCCTTTCAAATCTCAGACTGTCTCTTTGAAGGAAGTGAATTGTTATGATAAAAAATAACAATGTAAAGTCTTCCATCTATAAAACTAATCTTATCATGTTAATAGGATCAGACAATAGAAAAAAAAGGATTAAAAAAACACCCCTTTCAATATTCTAACATTATCTAAATGGCAGAACCTTCAAATTTGACTTCCATCTCTAATAAGACCAAGCTAATTAAGTTGAGAGCCTTGTTTAGCTTTAGAAGTCTTACAGCATTTAAAACACAATTAGGTCAAATAAATGTCGAAGATTAGAGGTGTTACTAAAAAGTAGCATACAAGGAAAAAAAGAAGGATATATATGAACAACAGATGTTCGATAGGGAAGAAGAAACAAACCACACCATAGCACCCACCAACCACCTACGGAGAGCCATGAAAACTACTCAAACAACCCAAGTCCTAGAGAGTCTCAATGGAGATTTAAACCAGGATCATAAACACTGTAGCACAAGCATGATACCAACTGAGCTAACAGTACACCAGTTCTGAGTTTGACACACTACTAGAAACTTAGGTCAGCTGTTGGTTAGCCACAACCCGCGTATTTCTTATTTCATAAAAAAAGATTTCATTTTTAGCACGTTTGATTAATTTCAGAGCCAGACTCATAGCAGAGACCCTGCGAGAGTTTTTAAAATTAAAATAGGCCTTTATATGTTCGTAATTCACAACTAGTACACATTAAAGTGTCATTAGGAGGACAGGTGAGATATGAAAATATTTGTAGACATTTTTAAGGAAGCCCACTGTAATTTGTTAAAAACATTACAAGACAAAAATAGGATGAAAGACAGAGGCAGTTGAGGATAAAAATCTGTTGTTGCTCACGTAAATTACCATGATCTTTTAAGGGTTGCGGCTTTAATCAACAAAGCAGCCACATGTGACTCACAGAAAGACTCTCAGAGAAAACGAAATATTCCCCCTACCACGAAGGCAATATGATGCCTTCTTGACTAAACAAATGCAGATAACTGTATCCTCTTTACTCCCAAGACTTACGTCAGTGATGAAGGAAAGGCCCTTTGCTGGAGCCCCCTTGTCCATGCTCACAAAGGTGTAGGCTCGAACCAGAGCAATACCCGCATCAGTGAAGCCATCTGCCTTGGGGTCAGAATTCACCACAAACGCAATGCCCAGCCTGAGAAAAACGGTGAAAACAACAGAAAAATCATACTGATCTCCAGGAGGGTAAAAGAAAAATTTTCAACAGTTGCATACAACATATATACAAAGTATTTCTCTCTCTCTCTCTCTCTCACTCTCTCTCTATTTCTCTCCCTCCCTCCCTCTCCAAAGAAAAGTATGCAGACAAACAGATATAGCTACAAGCATGCTCGCAACACACTACATACCTCAGAGGGGCCTTGTGGACGTAGAAAGCCTCTGCCATTTTCAGCAAACTTTTACTGGTGGAATCCAGAGGATCCACAACAAACACCTGTAATAAATAAGATGCATTGTAGAGTACTACTACAACTACCACTGCCACTAATAATAACAATATTGATAATGTTAATAATAATAGTTCGGGTAATCCTACCCTGACAAGGTCTCTTACAGTCACAAACATTTTCATATTCTTGGGAAGCATACAGTACAAGCTGGCAATTTACAAACATTCTAACACTAACATGCATATCTTGTTTTGTAAGTTTTACAACACTTGCAACACAAAAAGATCATATAACTGCCATAGAATAAGGGTGTTACAAGAGATTAACATACAAAGAAACGAAGGGGAGAAAAGTACAATAGATGTTTGATAGGAAAAAATAGGCAAGTCACACCAGAACACCCACCAACCACCCACACAAAATCTTTTTGTCTGTACCGGGTATCCATTGTCACAGTGGGGAAGGTAAGTAAGAAAGTTCATAAAAAGTGTCTTACTTTATCAGGATTTGAGCCCATACCCTTTCATTTATGATTCCGGTACCCTAACCACAAGATTCTCTACATTTAGGGCCAGTCAGAACTATAATACTAATTTCACAGAATTACACATGCAAGCTCCAAAACACACGGAGAAACAAACACACTTAATCATAGACTGATCATGCAAATACACAGACTATCACTAAATCATAGACTGATTGCACAAATACACAGACTATCACTAAATCATAGACTGATTGCAAAAATACACAGACTATCACTAAATCACGGACACACACACAAAAATTAGCATGCATGCACGCACGCACACTTGCACACATGCATGCACGGGCGCACACACACACACACACACACACATGCACGCACACACACACACCATCACTAAATCAAGGACTGACCAAGTGAAAGATATTCTTTGCAATATGCCGCAGCATCCCAGGAAAAGTTGGCCTGAGAAGATCCTGAATCGAGTTTGGCCAGGTGCGATACTTCTTGTCTTGGCCCAGGTCATTCAGATACTGTCAACAGACACAATACAAGGAAAATCATAAATAAATTGCACAGGAAGCCTCAACTAAAGAAATATATTGGAGTCCACTTAAAGTGAACACGGTAAATCTGAAAACGCTAGTAAACCAAAACAAAAGAAAGTCCCCAATTTTTTTGTTCTATTTGAGCAAACTCTTTACACCGCAAACCCAGCTAAAGTGGAGATAATCTGGCGGTCTTGCAGAATTCAGTTCAAAAGGGCTCCACTGTATATCATACACTGGAATTTTGGGTATAATCCTTTTTCAACACATGTTGAACAAGTAGAACAGTACAAAAAAAGAACTCAGCATAAAGATAACTACAAAATGATAGGATAAAGTAATCGATAGCAATATCAGAATAGGCCGATGTTGTGTTTAAAATTTTCACACACAGTAAGACACCAGCAGTTGAGCGCTTCATCAATCGCACACAGAAGACCTGAGCTCCATTCCTATGTTAAAAATTTTTTTATCAAGTATCTCGGTCTTTCTGTTGAGACACTGTATACCTCACAGCCTAGATTGGCCCCGACAGGCAGGGTCAAAGCCCGCCTCAACATGATCTGAATTGTGTCGTTTATGACATAAAAACACCTGCATTTTTCAAAAACCCAGTTAGACAGCTTTACAGATGCAATCAAATAGTGTATCAGTGAATCAAAGCCATGGCTCTGTACAGACAACACAACAAAGATTTTACAGTCAGAAGAAACATTTGAAGATTAAATCTTAACATTAAGTTAAATGTCTTTCCATGAAGAATTATTACCTTCAAGATCAACAAATCCTTATGAAAGATACTCTTTGAAAAAAATGATTAAAAGAAAGAAGATAAAAGTAGAAATGTGAACAACCTTTTAAAACACCATTTAAAAATTGACCTGACCTTCAGCCACAGAGAACTGTAGACAAACCCGAAAAATTAGCACCCATATGAGATCAAGTAAAATAACATGAGAACTTCTTACCTGAATGGCCGAGTGCCTTATGTCAACAGCATAACTCATGTCGTCGCCGCCTTCTTTCAGGTCCAACTGTAAAAACTTCTGCAAGTTGTTACCCTGTGGGAGAGCAATATACACTCAAATAACCTCACACAATGAACCCAGGCACAATGGTACTGGGTGCTTTATTCTAAAGACCTAAAAATTGATAGATCCTGAGACGTGATTATCTACAAGTATTTCTAAGTTGGCAGCATCTCCATTAAACAAAATTTTGGACATACTCTTAGAACCAATCCTTGGACTCTTCAAACTAACAATAAGAAAAAGACTCATAACAGAAAAAGCAGATCTGTCATTCTCAATTTTTGTTCTCCTTAAAACTTTTCAAAGGAAATTCTTTTTCAAGATTTCTTGCATGAATGTATAATAATAATAATGGTTAAATGCATTTGTATAATGCATATCCTCGCTTGGCTGCCAGCTGTAAGCAACTTTTTAGTCTATATTATGACCAATGAGATTCGACTGAATGAAGGACATCTTCTAACAAAGAAAAAGGTGTTGGACTCGAAACTGGCAGCTTGATTCCATCCATGGTGAAAAGGAAAGTTAATTCACAGGAAAAGTAAGTGCTTATGACAAAATTCTTACCAGGATGATTCCTGCTCGAGGCAAACACCAGACTACAAACAATTATAACATATCTACACAAACGACTACACGATTCCTCAATCAAGGAAAGCAAACTTCAACTCTCACCTTGAAGCCAAGCGCATGCAAACCCTCGACAAGACGAGCCTCAGACACCATCACATCCAGCAGGGTAAACACATCGTAAATTTCCATGTCGACCGACAGACCGTTCAAATAGAGGAGAGACTCGCCTGCCCCCACATTCTGAAACTCGAATTTCTGTTGACAAAGTAGAACAAAAACATGTAAAAGCTCTTTGCTAGAGTAAGGAGAAGCACATCGATATAATAACGGCCATTTGGTGTTGGGGAAAAGTAAAAGAGAAAGATGGAAACAAAAGAGGGACATTTAAGAAGCAGCACCTACCAGAGGTGCCCTCGAACTATCTGTAAACAAGTGCAAGATGAAAATACAATTTGAATGAGTCTGGACACAGGAAAATTTCCATAGATTAGATGTAAAGATGGGCCACAGAAAGAGAAGTGAGGGTATATAATGAGTTCCAACAGTTTTCACAGATTTTGATAAATATGATGGCACATTGAAAAAGCAAATTAGATTTCGAAGAAAACCATTACTCACCTCCTTGTTCTTTTTCACTTCCCTCTTGAACTCAGTCGAGACAGCTGTACGCACCAAAGACCTACAGACGACAAAACCATTGGAAAATACAACATGGGCAGCAGGTAATGAAATGATAGCGATAGTTTTCTCACTGCTTAAATGACATGCAACAACAACAACAGTATCAACAGAACCCAACAACAACTACTTTAATTCAAACAATCAAGGGAGCTCACTCACCGAGCAAGAGTGGGAAAATTCTGACTGATATCTTGCAGGAACTGGAGGGCATCATTTGGAGGAGCAGACACGATCCTCTGGCTGGCTTGATAGCTTAGGTCTGTTGACGAGAAAAGTCATGTTGATGTAATAGAAACAGAACACCCTACTAGATACAGCAAAAGTCATTTCAAAAGGGAGAGCACTTGGCACTACTACCTGGACCACAGGCTGAGAGGAAATACTTCACAAAAGTGAGACATGTCATATAATGTCCACAAGGATTCAAATGAATACTCGTGTGTGCTATATCAAGTTCAAAACATACTGCACAACAGTAACCACCAACATGATACGTCTTCACAGATGAAACTCGTAAAAAGTAACTAATATGTCAACACCCCATACACCAAAAGATAACTGATTTTTACAACCTTCCCCTCTTACAAAATGGAGAAGGTTGAATTTTAAGCTAAAAGTCGGTTGCCATAAGAATAACAAAAACAATAATAAGACTGAACATGACAGTATACACATTTTTCACCCTTCATAGTACTTTGCATTCACTGACCACTGGAGGTCATACCGTAAGACCAGCTGGTATCATGCTGGGCAACAACACTGACCATCTTGGAGTTGCTTTGAGTTCTTTACCTTGTTTATCAGGGAAATTTTCAAGCTTCTTGGTTTGTTTGAGGAATTTTCAAGCTTTCCATCCACTTAGAAATAGATATATACACCAAATCTGGAGGTCTTGTCTTTTAAACGACCTAACATAATTTATGCGCGGTTAAATGAAACCCTAACATACCAATGGACCATGGGAGTCAATAACTCATTGAGAGCAGAACTCACCCTGAAGCTGCCAGACCTTGAAAGGAGTTAGTTCTGTGGCAGAATCCATGAGATGGTTTCGGAACTCTTTCAGCTCCGCTTTCAAATCAGGGTGGAGTTCTCTGGAAAGACATAAAAGCAAAGTTAAAAACAACATAATTTAACTCCCTGAGAATAATGTGATTATTGGTTACATTAGCAAAAACATAGTAAATTTAACATAACTGACATCTAAGAAGATCTATACATTACATGACTCATCTTATAAATGTATAATTAATTATTTTCAACCAGTACATCCTCTTTGGCACTGGAATTCAGTTAAACAAAAAAATACCTAACTTTAGTCATGTCAATTGCATACTTCATCACTACTAAACAAACTCACAAGAGACAACAAAACTGAAAGACAGAAACAATAAAGTCGCAGTTTTATACCATCATCATCATTATTATTATTATTACGTGGGACGCTCAATGTTAAAAACAATCAGGAAACGACAAATGCAGTTTTAGCGACACCTGAATAGACATAAGGGTCTTGAACATCTAGCTCTCACTGGCAAAACTGAGGGCAAGCGAAGCAGGGGTAGGCCCAGAACAACATACTTAGGGAACCTAAACAAATGGGTAACAGGGAAGGATCAGGAAAACGTAGCTTTTTTTAGAACATCCGAGCAAAGGAATGAATGGAGAACCATGACCGCCGATGTCTGTCGCAGTTCTGGCACTGGATGATGATCATTATTATAATTATTATTGTAATTGCTATTATTATTGTAACTATAATTACTCTTTTATCTATACATCATACATTTTTACACCTGTTGTCATTCAAAAGAACTAAATGTCAAACTCCAAGAGCTTACTTCAGCTTTGAAAAGACAATGCCATCCACCTCCTCACCGTCATCTTCATCGTCTGATGCATCAGAGTCCCCACCACCTGAAACGGCAAACATACGATTCAAGAAACAATAAAAACACGATTATTGGAGTACCCTTTCAATACTTTCTTTTAAACAAACTACAAACTATATATTATGATAAGCACATGTAAATCTCTTTATACTCACATATCGACTACTCAGCATAAGGCTCCTTTTTTTTAGATAAGGACAATAGATGTGTGATAAGAAAGAAGGAGCAAACCATTCCAGAGCACCCGCTAACCACCCACATGTAAGACTCCATCAAACATCACTTTTCAAAACAGAGTAAGGCAGAGTCTTACACTAGGCAGTCAATATGTTTGAGTAATGGCAAGGGGTTTCACCTTGCACAAAAATAAAAAGGAGTGGAGTTGAGTTCTCTCAATTATCCCCGTCTTTCACCTAGTATGTATCCCACACAGCCCGGTTTAGCCTTGACACCCAGAATTGAAGCTTTCCATAACTTCTGTTTATGGTGGTGCAGCAGATATAGATCTTTATACCTTCTACTTTAGTATCATCTTTTGCTTTGTACTCGGTGCTCTTGATAGAAAGTTCCACTCCATAGCCAGACAGTCTCACTTTGTCAGGGCTTTGGTTCTGGGGAAGAGATGTACAAAAAAAATGTTAGTTTTGTCTAATTTTAGTAAAAGTTTTACCACACTTGCAACATTACTGGGTCTTATAAGTGATGAAGATTTGAGGTGTTATGAAAGAGTAAAGTACATAGAAAAGAAGGCGTAGAGATAAGGACAATAGATGTTTGATAGAAAGGAAAGAGCTTAATACACCACAGCACCCACCAACCAGAAAGACAGACTAGTAGTGACTCCATCCAACCATCCATGTCCTGCATGGGTTTCCCTGTTATTTCATCAATGGAGGCAAGATCAATTTCTCTTCAGGAATAAGATAATGAGACATACACATGAAAGACAGTAAACTGCGAGAACATAGGTTCAGCCTTTGATCTATTCTTTAGAACAGCACAAACACACCTTGATGAAATGCCTCAACACATAGGTGATTTCCCCTCCAGATGCAAGCTTAGACAGGGCTGGGTGGAACTCTAGGAAACCTTTGGTGCCAATCTCTGCGTACAGGATGACCACTGCCTTCCTCTTGCCCGAGTTGGGGTAGATGTGGTCAAACTGATACAGTGGAGAAGGAGACCTAAGGGAAAACATACAGAGTCATAGATTTTTCAAAGCAATTTACATTTTGTCTGCAAGCTGTTCACTTAGTATTAAGAACCAGAATGCAAAATTTTCAAGAGAAAGAAAAAAACCTGTTTCATTCTTATAAAAACTGTACCAACATTATGAAGTTTTCTTGCTTTTTTTCAACATTTTAAATTTGAATTTCAACTTAATATTTCTCGAGCACATGCAACAAATACCACAAATTTAAAAAACTGCAATTAAAAAATGAATTAAAAATTTTGTGCTAGTACCTTCAGGGATGTCAGTGAGAAAATGTGATAACCCCTGAACTTTTCCCGTAAAACTAACAAAAATTCAAAATTGACCGGACATTCGGTTGAGTTGTGAGTAAGCATCAAAAACTACCTCACCTGATATTATTAAAATGAGATACACACAGCAAGACACACATGTTTAAATATTATTTCACTTACCCCTAGTCATAAAAAATAGGATGACTGTTTGTTTGTTGTTAGTTTGTGTTTTAATCATCAGCGGCTTTACCCCCCGGACTATCGCGCCAACCGCAGATGCGAGCAGCGGGCTTTAGACAACTGCGCAAAGGCGCGGATCCCCAGAATTCTGAAGCCCCTGACATTTGAATAACTTCTCTCTCTTGTCTCTTTATTTCTGAAAAAGCGTAGTTTGTCAACAATTCCCTCTACAGATGTATCCAGCTCAAGGGTTAGGAAGTTTAGTAGTTGAAGTCCTGGTGTTCCAGGTGGGTCGACATGTTCTGCAACTGTCGTCTTGGTTTGTCAGTTGGTAGACTGACATCCCTCGGCAACAGCAGGCGGGAGCACTATCTTGCAGGCTCGTTGTTCGCTCCAACGCCCACATCCAAAACCTTGAGCTAAAACTGTCAAGCAGACTTCGACCATTGAAAACCCTTACAGGCACCACCTGGGGTGCCTCAAGGGAATGCATAAAGCCAATATATTATGCTACTTGTCGGTCAGCTATCAACTATTGTCCCCCTGCCTACATGCCTCTTGCCAAACCCTCCAACCTGCAGAAACTGGAAAGAAAGCAGAACGAAGCAGCAAGAATCATCACGGGCTGCTCAAAGGATACTCGTGTGGACAGCCCCCTCATCGAAGCAGACATTTTACCACTAAGGCATAAAGCTGATGCCTTGACTGCCATCTCACTCGAGAAGTCCATGCGTCTGCCGGTAACGAATCAACGCAGAGCCTCCGCAACAAAATCAGTTCCCACGCGGACAGGCAAGTCGAACTGGAAAAAGCATGCTCAGAACCTCGTAGCCGAAACTGAACTGGATACGTACCCACGTGAGGAGCTGGTTGTTTTACCCCCCACACAACCGTGGAAGGCTGCATCATGCATCCTGACTTTTAGCACTGATCTTGTCGTCGACTGCAAGCGTGCTGATGAACCAGCCGTCAGGAAAGCAGCAGTAGAGGCTACCATTCAATCGCTCCCCCTGCTCAATGTAGAAATCTGGACTGAAGGCTCAGCTAAGCACGGTACCGAGTATGGAGGCAGTGGAATACTGATCAAGACCGGTGATACCGAACTCGACCATCGTGTACCCGCGGGCAGGTATTGTTCCAGCAACAGGGCCGAGCTTGTCGCTCTCGACACAGCGCTGACCGTTTATGACGCCACAGCGCCAGAAGAAGGAGAGAGAGAGAGAGAAGTTCAGTAGTCTGGAAGTAAGGTGAATGTCTCTCATGCTAAAGTATCCAACTTAATTCCCCATTTCCTGCAGACAGTGTCAGTGGGTGGCTTTGGAGATTCTTTCTCGATACTCGATATTTCCACATCGTATTATCCCAAAACAGATGAGATGGAATGCTTAGCCTTTTTCAAAAACAATGAAGTACTCTGTGTGTACATTATGTTGTCAATGGTCTATTCTAGTGAATGAGCTGCCAGACTCACAACTACAACCGTGCAGATTCGAATCTCTTGGGAAACACACTTCATGCAACTTCTCCTCACTTCACTCTTGTTAAAATGAGTTAATTACACAATTATGTGTCAAGTCAGCTCTGCTCCCAATCAAGCATGAGCTATTGGGTAGGTCAAATTTCCAAAAATTTATAAACTGAGTACTCTTTGAAACAATCGTAAGTGCATACAATCTGTCTCGAAACTAACCTTAGTAAGATCGAGAAGCATGTAAAACAAAACCCCCACTTTTGAACACCATTCACCCTTGTGGCTTACCTTGTAATAGCCGTTGTTAGAAGTTCCGACATTTCATTAGTGTCACAGGTATATTTTCCATTGACATCTATAAAGGATGAACAGTCTTTTTTTATTTCTATCTGTTCAACAATCTGAAAGCAACGAAAATCAAAGCTTGACAGATTTCTTGAGTAGAGATGTACACAAAAAAACGAAGGAAAATGTTTGGGTGACAAGGAACAGCATTTTATGAAACAGCATAATACATCAAATGATGTGATATTATTGATTTAGCATATTGTGTGAAGGGCCATGGGAAGTGTCATCAACAAGGTAGGGGGAACAGACGAAGACATCAAGGTCTGAATCCAAAATGCAAGAGCAGCATTCATCATCCTCAGGAATATATGGACGTCTAAGGAACTTGGATTGAACATCAAGCTGAGGATCTTCAAAACAAATGTGAAGACTGTGCTACTGTATGGTTCAGAGACATGGAGGCTCACAGCATCAGCAGCAAGGAAACTGCAGAGAAGGATAGTGGGGATCAAGTGGTTCAATTGAGTCACAAATGCTGAACTGTGGGAAACAACAAGCCAAAGGCCCGTAAAGGAAGACATACAGGTGAAAAAATGGAAATGGATAAGGCACACCCTGAGGTGACCCCCGACAAGCATCATCAGACAGGCTTTGACGTGGAATCCATAAGGAAAACATAAGAAAGGAAGACCAAAGATGACATGCAGGCGAGCGGTACAAGTGGAAATGGAAAAGGCGGGGACATCATGGAAACAGCTAGAAAAGGATGCACAGGACAGAAATGTTGTTGATGGCTTATGCTCCACTGGGAGTTAAAAAGGGAAAGAGAGAGAGAGAGTGAAGGGCCATAACTTGTTACGGCAGACATCCCTCATCTCTAGACAACAGACTCATTTATTGCCTCAAAAAGTTAAACAACCTTTAGATTAAAATACGTAAGCATAACCTTAAAATATATACATAATAGATATGTATAAGTTTCCGATACATATAATCTGAGAACTCTTTGTGTCAGATGAGTCTCCTTCCACAGGCGTCTGTGGAGTAATGGGTGGTTTCTTCAGGTTAAGTGCAAAGGACACAATTACAATTCGCAGATCTAGTAGATATTCAACTGAATGCCTCCATGCGTTGGTGGCCTAGTGGTTAGGCTCTCGGACTCGCAACCGTAAGGTCGTGGGTTCGAATCCCGTCAGGGACCCGACGTTGTGTCCTTGGGAAAGGCACTTTACACGAATTTTCCTCACTTCACCCAGGTGGGAATGGGTACCCGGCTATAGACAGCGAAAGATCTTGTCAGTATGTTAGTGTTTGAGCGCTTAATCAGCTGCTTGCACTGTATGCTTCCCGGGAAGCTGAGAATGTTTCGGAGTGTTCTATGGTCTGCTGGGGTAATAATATAGTGTAAAGCGCATAGAGCCTGCTGTTGAGCGGGGATTTGCGCTATACAAATGCTATCTATTATTATTATTATTATCAATAGTTTTATCAATAGTTTACTGAAAAGTAAGCACATAGCCCAGTACAGCTCTTGTAGGCAGGGCTGAAGCAGTCCGCCCTCTAATCAACCTTAAATCATGCACTAGTCAGCTACACTTAGATTGATTGTTTACCTGCTGGTACATGTTAACAGCTGGAGAGTACGCTCTCAGTGCCAGAGAGAACTTCAGGAAACTCAACTGCAAGGGAGACAAGAGCTCAGATGCAAACTTCTGCACCAGCTTGTACTTGATGTCATCAGCAGCTGGTGATTAGGACAGAGGAGAGAAACCCAATTCTAAATAAATATAGAATTTGCAAAATATTCATTATTTTGTTGTAACCAGGTCTTCTAGTCTCACTTATACTTTGCTTCCAGCAAAAGAAAAGTAGAATTCCCGACAAGGCAACATAGTATTTCCTTCATTTAACTTCACAAACATTTTACACATTAAAAAATTATTTTTTTTATCATGAGGTTTAGATAAAACCCTCAAGTTCTTTTCAACTTCTACTGTGTCACTTGCTAGTTTTTGCCAGTGAACAAACATATTTTGTTTTTTACAGCATGTGCTCCTTTCAACATCTTTTTCAAATGATATCCAGTCCAGTCCCAAAAAAAATATCTGTGATTAAAAAAAAAAAAATCACACTTAGATCATGAACCAAATTTTGTTTTATAGACTTCCATGCAAAAACTTCAGCAACACCCCATAACACCAATATTTGTGCAATGCATATACCATACAAAATTAATGCGGTATGGTAAGAGGACATCCTTCCCATTGATTTGTCGAGTTATATCAAGATGTGCATAGCTTTAATCTTAGTGATAATGGGGAGACACCTTGAGCAAAGTAAGATAACCATAGTTCAAAAAAGGAAACTTAACTGTTACAACCAACAATAGTAAGGGTATATTTGAAAATGCTTAATGTCAGCAGTCTGCTGGACATGCGACTGCAAGTAAATGTTTTTGCATCCCAGTCTCGATCCAACATTGTTTCACTAGGAACGGCAATTAAAAACAATCTTTTCTCCCATATAATCCCGGTGAGATTGGGCAGATCTAGCTTCACAATAACTTCCTAAGATATGAGTTTATCTCACCTGTCTGGATAGAATCTGGATCCTGGTCAGCAATTCGTCCGACAAAAGTCCAAAAGCTCTCTGCAGACTCCTTGGCCAAAAACTCACTGAGTGAATACACAAATTTTAAAATATATGTACAAAGAAACAAAAGCAGATGGTACCATGAGAATAGCCGTAGCAAATACAAAGGTAAAATCCTTTCCAAGTAAAATGAAATGAAGGAATAAGACAAAAGCATGGGAATTGAGAAGTCTCAAAAAGAAGTAGTGTTTAATAATATACATTGATACATCAATGCTTGCACTTGTTTTAAAAAGGCAGTTTAGTATTATGCAATGAAATTCTTCAACAAATTGAATTACTATACTTTCACACCGTTTGCCCAACAAAAGAAACAATTACACCAAAAGCATATAAAATTCATAGTTTTGTTGAAAAAAATGTTTTGCAGCACCATACATACCTTGCTTCAAGCAAAAGAGGAGTAGAATTCCATTTTCCTGACAAGGCTATGTTGACAGGCTTTTGTTTAGCATCAACATAACACTTGATCATCAAAAGAATGGCAATGCCTTGTAGAAACAGCCGTGCCATCCTCTGAAAAAGTACATTTATTCTAATTAAACCACAAGCAACAGAAACTGTACTGTAGTATAGGGTTTTACGGCGCTCGCAACTGCTAAGGTCATATGAGCGCGCGAAACACAAGTTGTTTACTTTCGCAAAAGTTCACCGCACGATTGGTTAACTAATTGACTTTAAAATGCTAAAATGTTAAAATATTAAAATTCAGTGTAAATATATTGGTGATTTAAAACAACTCTTATAGGTAACAATAAAAATTTGAAATAGTACGTTTTCATTTTTCATTTTACAACTTGCCATAAAGGCCAATGGCCTTTATAAAATTCAAAATTCTGCTGGGAAAAACGACGCAAAAAATATCTTGCAATTTCTTGCATTTATAATATTTCCTTCGGATCTCTCCAAAGTTTAGACATTCGGTTAAGATGTGTCTAATGGTAAAATCTGTGTCGCATCCGACACAGAACGGCTTCTCATCTCCCTGTAGGAGGTATTTGTGGGTCAGGGCCGTGTGTCCGATGCGCAATCGAGTTAAAATGACTTCGTCTCTTCTGGAGAGGTCCAAAGGATTTCGCTGTTCTAGTTTGGGTTTTATTTCATATAGTTTATTATTTTTCTGGTTTTCCCAGTGGCTCTCCCACAGACTGGAGGTGTACTTTTTGACTTTATTTCTAAAGTCAGTCTGTGGGAGAGTGTTTGTCGTTGATCCCAGCAGAAGGGAAGAAGCTTCCTTTGCCAGGTCCTCTACCTGCTCGTTTCCTCGGATGCCCACATGGCTGGGTATCCATGCGAACATGATGTTTTTTCCTGTTTCGGATAGTGTATGAATTTTCTGTTGTAGCCTAACTATTTTTGGATGTAAGAGTGTGTAGTTTGTGAGTGAGGTGATGCAAGACAGAGAGTCAGAAAGGATAAGGAAAGATTTGTTAGGAGAATTTTCTACAGAGTCCAGTGCCATGTCAATGGCAGTGGCCTCCGCAGTGAAAATGGAGGCTTCAGGATGGAGTCTCCTCTGGTGTGTATTGTTGGGAGATAAGGCGGCGACGCCCACTTCATTGTCTTTTTTGGAGCCATCCGTGAAGATAAGCTCCGCACCGGGGTATTTATCTATTAGTTTTTTGTATTCTGCTTTAAAAGTTTTGGTGTTTGTGCTTTCTTTGTTGTGCGTGGTCAGCTGTAAGTCTACTTTTGCCTTGGTGAGGTGCCATGAAGGGAGGTCGGGGAAAAGAATTTGAAATAAAAAGTTTTCTATTATTTTTCCTTTCTGGTCTATAGGTTTGTCTCCCCAAAGGGGACTGTGGGCATTGAAATCACCTAGCAAAATAAAGGTTTTTGGAAGCTGAGCCTTTAAGTCATTTAGTTGGGTTATTTTGAGGGGGTAATTTGGTGGGATATAAACTGAGCAGATCGTGATTGGTCTGTGCAGGGTGACCCGTACGGCAATAGCCTGGAGGGTCGTCTTAAGATGTACTTGTCTGTGGAGTGTGTGGTTGTCGGTGTAGATGGTGGTACCACCGGAAGCAATCTGGTTCTCCGTGTGAATGTGATGGTACGCAGTAAATCCTTTTAAGTCTATGGTTGAAGCCGGGGCGAATTTTGTTTCTTGAATACAGGCCACCCGTGGGCACAGTGTGGCCTGTAAATGTTGCAATTCTGCAATGGAAGGTCGGATTCCGCCGGCATTCCATTGCAGGACCGCCATTATGAATTTTTACTTTTTAATTTCGAGCTCAAAGGCCCCGGCTTCGAAGAAACACTCTGACTCCTCCTTGCGGGGGAGGCAGAGTGTTTAATTTCTAGGTTGCCGTCCTGGATTGGAAGGCGGTCTAGTGGGGGATTTGGAGGAGTGACAGACTCCGCCCCTCCCGGGGTCAGGTCCGGGAGGGGGGTCGGAGCTGTCTTCCTCCATAGGCAGGGGTTTGTCTGCTGGAGGGGTAGGGGGAGGTGGAGCAGACCGAGGGGGCTGGGAAGGGGGGGGAGGGGGCTGGGGGGAGGGGAGAAGGCCCACCTCACACCCCATCAGAGGGATGGGCTGCGAGGTGGAAGAAGAAGAAGAAGAAGAAATGATAGAAGAGGGGTGAGGGGAAGAAGAGGGTGTGGAGGAAGAGTCCTCCCCGTCCTCCCCTTGAACCCCATAGCGGTTAGAGAGTGGCACCTCAAAGGGGGTTGCCACAGGGATAGTAGTGGGCCTTTTGTTCTTAGTAATCTTAGGCACAAAGATTTGCCTGTTGACCACGGGCTTTGGGAGGTCGGTAGTAGAATTACTTGCTGACCTCGTGACCATCTGGGCTGCCTTTGAATACGACCGGCCAATGACTGGGGTTGTGATTGGCGGGCAGACAACCTTACGGGCCTCCTGGAAGGAGCAGCCATTTCACGCCTTGTATTGCTGGATGGCGCGTTCTTGGAGCCAAGTCGGGCACTCCTTGCTGAAAGCTGTGTGCTGGCTGTGGCAATTTGGGCAACAAGGACTAGCCTTGCATTCCTTCTCAGGATGCCCGGTCTTGCCACAACGAGGACACACGGCTGCGTGCCGGCACCGTGACTGGCTATGGCCGAACTTCTGACACTTGAAACAGCGCAGAGGGTTCGGCACATAGGGTCGTACGTCGAGTACCAAGTAAGATGCCCAAACGGTGGCTGGAGGGCGACAGTGAGGACGATCGTGTTCGTTTCAATAGTAGTCTCCCCCCGCCGAAGAGTAATCCGGCGGGCTTCGACCACTCCCTCACAGTGCTCCACAATTTCTTCCATGGAGCAGCCTTTCAGCTCAAGGCTGCGGACGACGCCTTTCGAGCGGTTGAATTTCTGGTAGCGCTCGGACCTACATGGAATACCGCCGAAGGTCGTGGTATCCAGGAGTTTGGTCACTTTGTCTTCAGTTGCGCACTTGACGAGGAGTACACCAGAGGACAGCTTCTGGACATTCGTAAGAATGTATCCCAGAACCTGTCGTAGTGCATCTCCCGTCTTGAACAAATTCAGATCAGTGATCTTCTTCTGTGCGTCTTCTTTGCAGCAGATGGCCACATACGGCTGCTTCGGAAGCTCCCTGGGAGAAGGGAGGAAAGAAGCAACAGTAAAGGTCCTTTTACCTGTTTTTGAATTTTTGCTCGGCTCGGCGGCCGCACCCGCTTCCGCGAGCCGAGACTTTTTGTTAACGTTGGGAGCTGGGGAAGGGTCTTTTTTAGATTTGGATTCCATGAGAGTTTTCTATTTTATTCCACTCCGGGGCTCCCTGCGCGCCACGGAGCCCAACAAGGGGACACATTGCTCGGATTACCAGAGCTGTGCCAGGGCTACCCCGGAGCTATACTCTCAACGAGAAAGTACAAGACCCTCCCGTCAAGATTGACCCAGGGCTTGATGGGGTTTCAGCTCTCAACCGATTGAGTGACATGGGCCCTGCCACCCTCCCGTCTAAGAGAAAAACCTGGGCCAAAGAGGTGTGTTGGCGAGGGACAGTCCGTGGACTGATCTCACCTCAACCGTCAGGTACCCGGTTTCCCTCCGCACGGGTCGCACCTCACGGTCAACGAGGCGCCCACTCTGTGGGATGGGTGACCTCTCTTTTTGCTGCACTTGAGGTCAGCGGTGGGAGAAAAGATAGAAGAAGAAAGAAAGAAGGAAGGAGAAGAGGATGATACACCTAAGTGAGTGTCGCACACGGATCCCAGAGGGTTGGGATCCTTGTGCGACACTCCGCCTTTGAAGGGGTTGCACCTTCTGCAGACGAAGCAGTGGGTCTATTTATATCCCCCCAACCCACAGAAAGCAACTGACATACTTTGACCTTTATAAAGAATACTCAAACAATTAAATCTATTAAAACCTACAAAACAGCAGTTCTTCACATGATAATATTTGGATTTTTTCTTTTACAAACCTAAGGGGAGAGTTTTTTTCTCATATTAAGTGATGATATGACAATGGTCGGAAGTCTGAACGTGGCAACAGTAATAAGTGCAATAACAAGTGTTTCTTGTTCTTTTCTTTATCATTGACTAAAATTAAACTGTTTGTTGCTTTCAAATTTCACTATAGTAAACACTGATGGATAATGTGTGAGTCAAACCAACCAACGAAATAAGTCAGTGCATACATTTGCTGCTATGCTTCCCTATCTAAAATTTTGTTTTGAAATTTTTTAGACAAAAAAGAGAAGACCCTTTTACAATCACATGGAATTCTCTTTCTTTTTTCTTTGTCAAAGAACTATCATTTCTATACTACTCCACAACCATCTGTCTTATCATCTAGAACATCTAAAATACAAGGCATATATATTTATATATCATTTATATATCAAGTTGGAATTGCAAATTGCAATGCTAAAAGATTTTATACAACATAAAGTATAAAGACAAATGTTCATTAAAAAAATTAGCATAAAAGTAAGATTTTCAATAGAATCTCAAGGACTACATGCTGGTTTTTTTAACTTGCGAAAGTACTGATAATTAACACAGACAAAATTGACTTTTACAAATATCCTGAAAATTTTGAGGAGCGTAGATATGGGAAGAAACAGAAAAACAGTTTTTGTCCAACACATATCAAACTAATCATTATTTCAAGCTCGGTCACATAAAATAAAGCATGAATCTCAAATTTTCAAAGGGGTTAATAAGAACTTAGATTAAGAGCAGTGTCAGTGCAGAACTAGCAAACAAACAAGCCTGCCCAATGACAATGGTCGAGGCACTTAGAAAGAAACATTGGCCCAATACAAGGCAGAGAGACCCAAAACTCTGTTGGGGCCTAGAGGACCGAGGAGTACAGCAGCCTTCGCACTTGAGACTGGGATGTCCATTTAAAGAGGAACAAGAAGAAAGACTTAGTATCTGAAAATTTCTCTTAGAATTTTAAAAAGAAAAATTCCACACATAGATTTTAAATTAAGACCCATGTCATGCAAATTGACACAATTTTCAACTAGAATTAAATCTTAAAGAGCAAGTTTTGGGTGAATACAACTTTAGTATATATATATATTTCTTGTGTTTATTGCTCCAAAGCGAGACAGCTTGCAGTGCTAACAGACCGACGGCAAAGTAAAATTTAAAAAGAGGTGGGGTTGGTTTTTTTTACTGCGCTGAGGATTGATCCCATTTGTTGTTGCTGCACTCTCTTGTTGGGGTGGGCAATATGAGTCGCTTTGGGAAAATCCAGATATGTTGATGCACCCCATTGGGAAAATCTGGATCTGTATTTTAACCCTATTTTCTTCTACACCCCATTCATGTGGGTGTGAATTGCTTGTTACAAGGTCATGAAACAGTTCTTTTCATATACCCTACTTCTTTTAACCTCATTTGCAATCATTGATCCTTTCTCTTTAGTATGCACAGGAACAGAAGAAACTGCGTCATGTAATCTGTTCTTGTCATTTGTTTAGAGGTGGGAGAAAGTATCTATTGGGACGAAATAAACTTGGTGGTAATTAAATTGATTCACCACCACTGTACCGGCGACGGCGATGCTGACAACAAATGAGATGCATTCTTTCTACTTGTTTTTTTAACAAACTGCAGTGATAAACGCCACCCCGCACAACGTTCTTGCCCCAACCCCCACAGACAAAACACGCACGTGCCCACACATTAATGAAATGTAATCGCCAAACATCTACAGAACAAATAATAGATCTAGTCAGTGCCTACACACTGTACTGTATGTAGACTCCAGATCTAGCTGATTTGTGAGAGAAAATATCTTGTTGTACAGTAGATCTAGATCTAGATCTAGATCTAGATATCTAGATTCTAGATGTAGATCTTGAGATCTAGATCTAGATTCTAGGCCTAGATCTTGATCTAGATCTAAAAATCTCTAGAAATCTAGAGTTAAAAAGTAGCCTAGATCTAGATTAGATATCTAGATCTAGATCTAGTTAATTTAAGGCTCAGTAGACTACTGTGGGAGACTTATTATTGATATCAAAATGTACACCAACCTAGTCTGCAGTCAGTAGGTGTGTCGTCCCAGATCTAGATCTAGATCTAGATCTAGATCTAGCAAGGATTAAGTTGTTGAGTGGGAGGAGGCACGACTGGCTACAATATTGTCCTACACTTTAAAACTATAGGCTTAGAGAACTGAAAATAAATGATGGCATGATGGTCAGATAGCCTAAACTTTTACTTTACAAATTTCACAAATTATTTGAAATCCAAATTTGTTTCGGCTTGAGAAACAAGATAAATCATAATAATATGAAAGAATCACAGGGATTTAAGAGTGTCTTATCTGATCAGCCACTAACAACAGAAATGTAAGTTGGCCTATTCCTGCTTGAACGCAGGAACAAGGGATCGAAAAATCGTTACTTACTTACTTTTGATATACACGTATGTTTACACCGATGGACGCCGCCATATAACAACTCTGCAGGAAATGTAGACAGGTGGTCGATTTGGATTGGACAAAATTAAATTCCCAAATAAACCTTCAATAACAAAATTATTACACCACTATTTTATTTGTTTGAAATACCAATGAGTAAAATTTACTAAGTTACTACTTTCTAAGGAAAAGATTCGAGTATTTTTTTACATTTGTACCTTTCCAGCACGGGAATTCCCTATTCTATTTTTAGTGACCGTTTACAGAGTTACAGATTACTACGAGTTCACAGTTTATCACAGTTTAAAGTAGGCCTAATCTGCATGAAAAATCAAACAATCTAGTTTTTCTCAAATCCAAGAAAGCCTAGAAACACACCCAAGAGCCACGATGGTGTCTCGGAGCAAACCAAATAAGGGGAGGCGGGGGGGGGGGGGGGGGGGGGGGGGGGGAGGGTTGACAGAGGGCGGGTAATAAAAAAGAAGGGGAGGAAATAAAATATTATACATGTATTAATACTATTTAATTAAATTTACCCCACCTCTTTGATTTACCCTTACTGACACATGACGATTGAATGCTGGATTTACATTTGTATTATAATCAATTACTGGCAAGTTTCGGTAATAAAATGGGTAGATTGACGAATATAATATACATGTATTTAGTGCACAAGTTGATTTAGTTGACTGCAAAAGAGAACAAGAGTCACTAGCTGGCACCTTGACAAAATTCACTGTAACATAAGTTCTACCAAAACTGAAAATGCTCTACTCTAGTCATTATAAAAACAGAGCACATGCAGGCTTGCTCATATGTACCTTCGAAATCGAAATACGGCTGAAGGTCAGGAGCCCTACGAAATGGGAAAAGCGGTGAACATACTTGGCAAAAATCATGCAGTTGCAGTGGAGGTTGAAAAATCAACAGTCAACTACCCGTGATCTCGAGATCATGTACGGGAACATAAAGATAAAGAAGAAGACTAACAATTACAATGAACTTTTCTTTTCCTGTTCCCATAACAGACTAAAGCTTACTTTCAAGTAGCCTACATGTCACGACCCCAATGCTTTCTTGTCGTTTCTCCATTTTTAATAACAGTGAAAACAGTTCATAACAAAGAGTGAGCTTAATAAGATGTCACATTTTCACTGTTAAAATAAAGGAGATACGACAAGAAAGCACTGAGGTAACAATGTACATTCAAAGACTTTTCAAAAAATTGTTCTCAACAGCAGTTTGCTATATTCTGTCATAGCATCTCTCTGTAAAGAGAAATCTCGCATGTAAACAAAGTATTGTACAGATACCCACCATACACCCAAAACAAACAAGTAAACATATACACACAACTTCTTATGTTTTAAATAGCATCTTTTTCATTCTTAGTGCCCGTGAACAGAATGAGTGGACTCTTTTGATGAAACCTTACTTGAATTAATTTAAGAATTTGATATTTGTGACCATTGATTCTGGAATATGAGACCAATTTTTTTTTCAAATACATCCCATCCCTAGCATTGAACAAGTATTCGATTTACATGAATACAGGTACACATTTAGACTGCCTTATATTTGAAGACGTTTTATGTCCCCATCAACACAATGAGTACAGTATCATTGTTGGGAACCCCTACGGGTCAATGTAAAATACCTACCAGCTGTTCAAATTGTAATTTAGAACTTAGAGTAAGAGTTTAAATTCGTGGTACAGTACTTACAACATAAACAGAATCATGTTAGAGCCGAAAAGTAGAGGTATTACAAGACATACAAAAAAAAGGCGAAAGAAAGATAAGGACAATCGATGTTTGATAGGAAAGAAGGAGCAAACCACAAACATAAACTGTAGAAAATAGTCCGATATGTAAGTATTGAACCTGGTATTGATGGCTTTTGCACCCAGAATTAAGTTTTAACATCCATCTCTGATAGATTGGAGCCAATTTGGTAGACAGCCTTAATAACTCCTCAAATAACCTTAACTCAAGAGTCCCATTAGAAATTTGAACCAATTTTATCCGCACAATATCCCACCAGGAGCAAATGGTATTGTTTAAGTATTCAATTAAATCAGCCTGAATGCAAAAGACAGCACTTTACAAACTTTTTAAGTGATTAGTAATATAATGCATCCTCTATTTCTGTTTGATCAGAGGTCACCTTCTTGACTTCAAAACATGAATGCTACTGAAATTGCTACCATAATTGCAGTTGTTATTGTTGAAGTTCATCATCTACAAGACAATTTGTAGTAGTTTATCTTGAACAGGGAGCACTTACTTCCACATCAGGAGGAGAAAAGAAGAAAAAAATGATGAACAAAAGGACAAAAGACATTAAATCATTGAGTACTACTAAAACAAGTGGAGCCTTTGTTTTACTTCACTTTATTACATTTACAAGTTTCTTTTACAAGTGAGTATGATAGTGCATATAATAATAGAGATGAGATGATGATAATAGTAAGGAGGGTAACAATAACAAAAAACTGAAATAATAATGATGACCAATCGTAATTCTAATACGTGTAATATGGATCATCATGAAGCATTAAATATTTAGTGATTAGGACGAACCAAGATGGAAACTTGACCAAACAATATTTTAACAACATGACATGTTTACACAAGCGTGGCAATTTGATGGAATAATATTTCTATGAATGTCTTAATCTTATCACATACAACTTCAAGCAATTTAATAAAACTGACTAAATAACAAAGAATAAATTTTAGTTAGCACACCTCTCTCTTGGCAACAAAGATACATATATACTTTCAATTCCACCTCTCTTTATGTATATATATATATATGTCGTACATATATTATATTACATGAGCATCATTAAGAGTCAAAGGTAAAATTCTTCTATAAAAATTGCCTACATATATATGCATACACACACATGTGTGTATATATATATATATATACACAAAAGAAGTAGTGGAAAAAAAAACCATGACCGAGAAGAATTTGATTGTTCACTTACACAAACAAAACTTTTGGCCCCCTTGTTTCAGAACCCTTTCTCTAAAGTAAAGTGTGCTGTTGAATAGAGACTCACAAGGCTCAAAGATGCCTGCCAGGTTTTTCTCTTCACATACATACAAGAGTTGGCGGTGATAATTCAGAGGACCAAATGATGATGATAACAACAATAATAATATGCTGACGATGATGTAACAGATCATATTATAAACATAGTATTAAAAATTTGCAATACAAATCACAGGTACACATATGTACACACAAATGTAATGGGCACTAAATTATGTAAGTTTTCAGTTAATTTAATTTTATCAGTGCTAAAAATATTTCAGCAAAGGATGAAATAGGTTAACATCTGCCTTTCAATGATTCAATATAGCACTGAGAGAAGTTTACATAAATAAGAATCAAGTGAAGATAGACCAACTGATTCAAGTAAGAACCTGGGACCAACAAATGTCAGAAACCTGTCTTCATGACTGAACGCACAATAAAGTTTTTTTCTTAATTAAAAGTCAAAGTCCCAATGTTATTTTCTTTGAGATCATTGTTAAAACCATTACTTCATTATAGCCAATAGAGAATGAACATTTTTTTTCCAAGGTCCTCAAATTAAAATAGTTTATTTTTAAAGCTTTGAGATCAGCCATTCCATACCCAGAGCACATTACAAAAGACAAACAAGAGATTATTGCACTTTGTGAAGCCACCAAACCCAACAACTTCTGTCATTTCAACCACATGTACCATACAATTTCAAGGAATGGTCTATCATGTAAGAATCAAACATATAAGACTTGAAAATGTCATTGAAAACAATAAACACAATTAAGCCATCAGCAAATGTTTCCAATTCTATTGGATTACTAATGCTTTTTTTTGCACCAAATAAAACTTGAGATTTGTCAGAGAAAACAAAGTTGCCAACTCCACAGACCAATAGGGATAGAAATACATTTCTTACACATTCATATCGAATATGTGTGTGTCAGGGAGGGGGTGGGTTGTAACCGTCTCACACACCAAAAAAAATAAACAATCTCTTCAACCTGAGCAACAGCTCAAGAAAATATTCCATCTGACATTGCAACATTCCATTTCATATCAAGCTTTAAATAAATACACAAACTAATCATTGTGTTTTCTTCAAATGCAGATCTCATTGTACAGAGAAAGCAGGCATGCATTTTCATACAAATTCACAGACAAAAAAGCATGTATACCAGCATATGATCACACAAGCATACACACTATAGACACATCATATATGTGCACAAACCAACACATCCCAACTCACAAACTTACATAACAACACGAAAACATCGCACAAAAAGAAAGAGGACTCTTCAAAAGGACACAAAATATAAATTTGATACAGAAATAGCAAATAAATTTGTTAGATGATAGATATATTCCAGTAAGATAGCTAAAATCGAAATGGAAAAAGGAATGGTTGAAACACAAAGGCTTGACAGTTATTGATTACATACTCACAACCTCAACGATTACGAGGTCAAAAAGTTTTACTTTTACCAGAGAATAATGCCAAATTTGTAAATAAGTTATAATAACAAAGACAACTTTCATTTATAGAAATGGAAACTTTATAACGATCAAAAGAAGAGTATAAGCGTGGGTTTCCATGTCTGTTGTTACATGACTGAAAATATTATTTCAGTGCCGGTAAGTGTAACAATTTCAAATATCACCAGTTTCTGTGGTCAAATGCTTGAATTCTTCCCGTTGCATTAAGACCGTGCAAGTTTGATTCCCTTATGGGGAAATCGTTTTATCAATTATCTTTCTCCATCTGCAGAGATGTAACATCCCACTCAGATGGGCAAAGCAAAAATTGGATATACTCATTTTCTAGTCACAGAAACAAGAGCATTCTATAACCATCATCATTAATAATTATTTATAGAGGCACCAGCCATCCATGTCTAACTGCTGTTTTAACCAGTAATCTATGAAAATAGCCAAAACAGGAAGCCGAGTGGTCATAAAATCAGTCAGTGTTACTTACAGGATTGGCCTGAGTCTTTGGTTTACTGTTTTGCATATACCAGTACATTACAATTGAACAGTATGGAAGATCATACCTGTCCTGTAAGAAGAACAAATGTTGAAAACTGAGCAGTAAAACATATGCCCAAATGAAAAGGAAGATGATTCATTTATGGTGCATTTATCTTTCACTTTTTATCTCTCAGGAATACAGAATAATTAATGGGAACAAAAAAACCAAAACCAAAACCAATTCATACACTTAAAACATGAAAATGTATCATGCAGCCCAGGTAATGCAGGTAATGAGATTGAAGCTGATGAATTCGATTTTGAAAATGTTAAAATAGTCTCGACTTTTTTTTAGGGGGGGGGGGGGGGGGGCTCTTTTCATTTTGAAAAAGTTACATGACATACATTTACTGTGCAGATCATATAGACCCACAGTGGACATAATGACATTAGAGCAACAGCCTTTGCAGAATTTTAGCACAGGAATCTTACCTCATTCAGAGTGGACCAATGCTTCTGATCAGGCTATTCTAAAAGTGACTTTGCAAGTGACTTGAGTAAAGAGAACAACCAGCAGGGGAGGACCCAACCGACATGATTACCTAACCTACACAGTGCCAGTCCACTTGACAGTCTACTGCAATAATGCATTCTATCATAACGTTGCGAAGGCTAATTTTGTACTATTACTCCAACATCCTGATGCATTACACGTACTTTAAAAAAATCAGGGGCAACCCGCGACGAAACATCTTTAATACCGCAAGTGACAGCTCCAAGCCTGTATAAAGTTTAAACAAACAGGGGAAAATGTTTAGTATTGTGAACCATACAGTGGACTATCACATAAAAGTTGTCAGACTAGTCTGGTGGTAGACCGACGACAAGTAAAACAGAAATACCATGGTAGACTGTTAAGTGCCCCTGCACCATTAATTTTATTCCTGAATCTACAGATGGCGTGAACTGGAGAAGAGGGGGGTGCAAGCAAGATAAATGGACAGAACAAACAGAGAGAGCAAAGAAGTAGAATCAACAAGAGGAGCCCTCCAATCATCTGCAATATTCGCTACGCCAAGGCCACACTCAACATGAATCACAAAGACCCCACTGGTTTGATGTCACAGCTTTCATCACAGTACATGTTCCCATGAAAGTTACCAACAAACCACAAAGAAGTTAATTACTACAATGGGTTTATAGATAGAGTATTTGATTTCCACAACAATCACTTCAGAAATCATGGTCATGTTATTGTTATGAGGAAGCACCAGACAGATGGAATCAAGAACAGTACACACAGGTTATATTACACTGGCATCATCAAGAACAATACAACAAAATCTGGGCAACTAACCAAAATTCAGTGGACACTCTAAATTTGAGTTCAAAGAGTCAAGACACTTTGATACAAAGGTATTTGTTTGAGTAAAAGGGAATCTCATGTGCATAAAGATACAGTGGAGTTTGCTTATCATACAAAATTCATCCGGAAACAGCTGTAGATCTAACCGAAAGAAAATAAAATCCCCAAAACTTTAATTTTTACTTCAGTTTCAGCAACCTCTTTAAACTGAAAACCTGGCTAAACCAAACAAAATCTGGCCGTCTTGCAGACCTCCACTAGCATGTACATTTAGGGCTAAGGAAATACCCTATGTCAAAAGTGAGATAAAAGATTTCCTAGCAATCATTATTTTAACTTAGTCCACTTCAAAATGTCTCCTTTTTCTGAACTGACTCAAATGGAGTTTGAGAGAGAACTAATTTTGTCTAGCTGCACAGCAAAAAAGTGAACAAAGAAAGAGAGACAAACAATGAGGGATGAGTAAGGGAGGGGGGGATGAGAAGCGAACAAAGAAAGTGAGCAATAAGGGAAGAACAATGCCTGTGTGAATAATAAGAAATGAACAAAAAAAGGGAACAATCCTTTGTGGTAAATGTTTTACGCCCACAACACACTTTAGATTGTTTATGTGTCTGGAGGGGTGAGCAATGAGAGTTAACAAAGAAAGGTGAGCAAAGAGAGGTGAACATGTTCATCAGCATTTCTCTGACACACTGACACAGGCATGACAACAGTTCAAGACCATATCAGATGGCACAGTTGCCACATGACAGAAAAATAAAGCTTATGCATGCCTGCTAAAAGAAAAAATACAAAGTTTTTGCACAACAACAACTTACTAGTCATTTCTAATACACCATCACCTTCCAAAATATAATTCTTATACTGTGATTACATAAGGCTCTATGTGAAAAAATAGATAAATAAATACATAAGATACACCGTTTGATTTTTTAAAATTAAAAGCTCAGATCGCCTTCTGAAAACAAACTCCTATAAATGTCACAAATGTCACTGTACAAAATTAAAAACTATATGAGGTCATCCGTGTTCCATACACGTTATCTTATTACTAAGTATATGCTTTCACAGAAACAGGACATAAATTTAAAAGTCTAAGAAGCAAAAATTTTTTTAAGCAACATGTAGATTAAAGCAGCAAGCCAACATAAACTCATTGGAAAACAAACCAATCAAAGTTACCTTCATTAGTATCAAAATTTCTGTTCATCAGACTTAACCTAAGACAAAAAGAAAAGACCCACCTTCCAAACCTTTCCATATCCATCTCATATTACTGATTATCTAAACCAGACATTGGCAAACTACAGCTTGCTAGCAAAATCTGGCCCGCTAGCAGTTTCAGTCTGGTCCGCAAGCGAACCATGTTCTGACTAAAAAATATACATCATATCTCTTATATCTTAGAGCAAAAATTACTCAAGCTGATTTTTCTTGTTAGACACCTTTTTCCGGACAGCAAAAATGGTAAAAGTTAAAAGACAGAGAGCCATGAAAACTTAAATAACCCTTATTCAAGAATTCTCTACTCTGGATTTGAACCATGTCACAGTCCAACATGATACCAACTATGCTTCTACATGACAAGTGAAGGTGCAAAAAAGTCTCTAGTTTTCCAACCATTGTATACAAAGCAGAGATATACAGTCATTCGAGTCGGCCATGAACACGCTTTGAAGTATATGTAAAATAAATATTCAACAAAACAAAGAATAACAGACAACTGGGTTCAATTTCGCTCAGATTCTGTACTTACAAACTCTTCCCCTCATAAACAGAAAAAACTATTCAAACTCAAATCACGGCAAGACAAAATAGCTCTATGACAAAAGAAATGTAATTCTAAAAGAAATGTAATTCTATGACAAAAGAAATGTAATTCAAGTAAGTAACTTGACAATCAAAATGGGCTACGTTCATTTGGCTGAGAGAAAAAATTATCATCATCATAAAGTGCCAGATCTGAAACTGAGATCAGCGATTGTGGCTCTCAGACTCTATTTACTTTTCTACTCAGATGTTCTCAAAATTCGTATAAATCATCATATTGTTTCCCCATCACCCACTGGTTCAGGCTTCCCAAATATGTTTCTCTGAAAGTCCATCCCTGCCTCATTTGCCTTTTATTATTTCAACGAGAGCAAGATGATCAGAACCTTTACGTCGAATCAAATATCCTGGAAACAACAAAATTTGTCTCTACGTGATTGTTCTTACTAATGAGTGGCCCACATGAGCTTTTTAAGTACTTCATCGTTTGATTTCTTTTCAGTCCAAGAAATTCTCCTAAAAAAACACATTTCTGTCGCTTCCATTTTATTTTCACTATCTTTGGTAACTGCCCAACATTCATGACCTTACAGAAGGGTTGATCAAACATAGCTTTTTAGAACCCTTATTTTAATGATCATAGAGAAGTTTCTATCTTTTCAAGATTGGACTCGTTTTATAGAAGTTATAATTAACTATTGTGATTCTTTGTTTTACTTAAGTGAAACATTTGGAATCAGATGTATTGATACATCTAAGATATTTAAACTGTTGAACTTGTTTGATCTTTTCATCTTTGCTTATCAGATTACAATTAGGGTTAACTGCTTTTCTAGATTTTATCATGTATTCTATTTTCCTCACATTCAACAATAAACCTTTATGTTCATAAATTAGATCTAAAATATGCAAACTGATTTCACTTTGTGTGAAATGAAGATGGCTTTTCTATTTGCCCATTTAACATTCTTAAAAACAAGCTCCTTCCTTCACACTAGCTGAGTGAGGTTTGTAAATAAAATACTTCTTCTTGTTCCACAAACTTATGTCAGTAAAATTAAAACAAAAACATTCTAAACTATATCTTTGGAAAATCGATCGTGTGAATGTTCTAAAGACAGTGAAACAATAGTACAAACTAACTCAAAGCCCCTGACAGGAAGAGAAAAAAAAAAACATGAGGAAAATTGTTTAGCTGGTAATGGATTTCACACATGGATCTGTTGCATCACAGATACACAATCAATGTCCTCATGTCAGCCATTTTTTGGCTTTCTTGTTTTTCTCAGTCTAATGTAGGTTATGTCCACTGCAACACACATGGCGCTAGTGAAATAAAAAATGAAGGGGTTAGTTCAGATTTGAACCCCAAACTTCCACGAGTCCATCATGTATGCAAAACATCACAGCTTTCAACACAGAGTCACCTGTTGGCACCAATTGAGTTGTAAGTCTGTGGTCTTTCCATATATATTAAGAAGAATTTGTGCATACCACAGAGGTCTAAATAGCAGGTTAAATTATCAGACAAATAAAAGAATAAGTCAGGGAAAGTCAGGTCTATTTAAGGAGGGAGTGGACTGTTCTCTTTCCTAACGGTCACATATGCACCATACAAGCCAAGTCCTCTCACTGGTGTAAATAGTCATGAATTGGTCATGGGCGACTTTCAAATCTCAAAGTATGGACAGAGTATAACAATTACAATTAAATAGGGAATCAATATGACAATTCTTCTTCATAAATGCAATAATTTTACGCAACACCAAAGAAAACTTTCCATTAATCACAACTCTATTAAAATTGTCTAATTATCATTTAATCACTTTAGAAAGTAACATAAAGACTATAATAATATCACTAACAATAAAATGTGTGTCAGGTACTTAAACTGTCAGGAAGACAAATGTACAGCAATACAGTGAAACTCATTTAAAGCAAACTCGGATTCAACTATAGCTAGAATCAAAACAAGCCCTATAGACTTAGACCCTACACTATATTATGCGAATCACAGGAAACTACCCATCATTTGGTACAGACATGCATTTGAACAAAAACACACTTTTACACAGCATGCGTTTTGGTATCCCATTAGACACCGTGGCACTATAATGGTAGTATACTTTTCAATTTTAATCCAGTCCTTTCCTGGGACGTCTTCGGTTCAGCAACAAAGAGAATTAAAATTAAATGATTCTTGTTTTGAACCAAACTGATCTGTATTTCTGACATCGACAAAGCGTGAAAAGAGAGCAGATTTTGTAGTGAACATGGCATTGCAACAAACTTTCTGCCAACTTTTTTTTTATAGACAAGGACATGATAAGAATAGCCATGGACCAAGAAACATGTAGGCTGAAGAGACAACACCTGTACTTGATGTTGAAGTTGGACTTTTAAGTTCTAGTGCAGTTCACACCAAAAACTCAACATGAGCCCAGTCCTATTGTTACGGGGTTGTACCAAGGGAAGCAACCACACATATAAGCAAGCACTTTGGGCCCCGTTGCCTCTTTCCGTTTTTATTTGCATCAGGTCACATTCAGAACTGAAGACCATAGAATAACTATTATCAATCAAAAAAATGCTCACACAAATCACACCTTTCTTTTAACAAATACTTGGATCCAACTAACTAAAAGGTTGGAGCCAACAATTTCATTATATCTGAATGTCACTGTAATACCCATTGAGCACAGGAAATGAAAAAAGAACAAATGCAAATTATCATAACTTAGATCATTACTTTGCTAAAACAAAAAAGATACGTTTCACAAGATTCTATTTCAAAGAATTTACAACATCCATGAATAAACACAAAGCTGTGAATTTCTGCAGCTTTCAAAGTCTTACAATATCATAACCACAGTAAAGACAGATTTTAGTCTTAACAGCAAAAAGAAAGCAAAAAAGTTGAAAAAAAAAGAAAAATTAAGGCAACCCATTTTTTGTTTCACCACAAAACTCGGTTCTCCTTGTCTAACACATATCCTTTTGTTTTTACCCTTGCATTGCACACTGCCTGCCTCATCCGATACATGTTGTAGGATTTTACACTCACAGCGTCCATGAGCCTCCCTTTTCGCTGTCCCTCCGAATAAAAAACTCCCATTGTAATGGGCTTTACAGCAGTCTTACACCTGCGACTGCCTCCAATTGGGACCTAAAAATGGAATGGTTTGTATTCTTCATTTCGATCAGTCCTGTCTAAGACAGCCACTTTTCTCCTGACAATGGGTGGCTGTCTAAGACCATTTTGACTGTACAATCAAATCCACGCAAAAATGCAGTCAACCTAAGGAGACAAAACAAAGAGCACTAAAAGAAATTAAATCTACACTCCTATCCATACCCCCGTGTTTAGTTTCATTCCACACTTTATATTCACAAATCCTTTGAATGGTATGAAATGCAGTGTGTGCCTTGAAGAAAAGTAAATAACATGGCTGGTGCAGAGAGCCTACTCTATATCTTTTGAACAAGCATATAAAGGTAATAAAAGAAGCAAATTGCTAATGCAAAGTATGAAGTGTAGAAAATGATTATTGTTTAAAAGCTAAAATCTTTTTTCTACAAAAAAAAAAGGCCCGTTATTATCTATTCACTGAACTCTAAACATTAATCCAAATCTGGACTTTTAACTCACTCACTGCCATACACTATATGACTCAACATCTAAGGAATGCCAACATTTTGGCACCTATTAAAAAAAAAAAAAACAATGTGATATTAGTCACTACCCAACAATGAAACTTAACATGTAAAAAAAAAAAAAAAAAAGTTGAATATTCTGCATGAAGCAAAAGGTATTTTAAAGATATTTTGAATGGTTATTCTTAAAATAATCTTTCCCAAATATGTTTACAAAAATGAAATTTCACTTGTGCTTAGGACTGGGGGAGGGTTCACAGGGGGCAGTACCATCTCCTGCTGGGTTTAGAACTTCAGTCTGTTTCCTTTTACATTTGCATGGGGGGTTAAGGGGGTTTGGAGGGCAGTACTTGGCCCTGGGGTCAGAGGATCAATGTCAGATTAATCACTAACACTACTTGTTTCTACTACAAGGTCTAGATCAGGATCAGTAAGTTCACTGGCACTATTCCCTACAGCCTTGGAACAGCAGCGAGTGAGTTAACTCTTCTATACTTATTATATGTATCAAAGTGTGGATTACAAAGATTAGAAAGAGATCCTTGCGTCACGTAACAGCTCTGTGATATATCCAGGCTATGACTTATTGTGCTAAAACTTGTAAACTTTCCTCACGCAATTTGTGCACTTTCAAAAGCAAAACATTCCTCTGAACAAAACAGTACAACTTTTCAACTTTTCTCTGAGAATTTGATAACCACTCATTTTGCGCCTGCACAGCGAACCCCCGTTAAAGTCCAAAGATGACACAGGAAACAGCACTGGGGGTTATCACAACAAGGACTGCTCAATCATGATTGCATCAAAGCCACCAGGGGGTGTGTGGTAGAACTTCTCAAACTGGACATCCAAAACAGCACCATCATCAACTAGAGAGGACATGAGAATTTGGGGGGGGGGGGGGATGTGTTGTTGAGTGTTGAGGGAGAGAAAAAGGATGATTGATAACGTGACTTTGTACAAGATGTTACAAAATTAAGAAACAGAAAACACTCTGCAAAACTTATACGAATAGATCCATCAACTCTTTCTACTAGACTAACAATGGTTGTAATAAGCTTGGTTTACCACAGCTTACCACTTGATCAGCAATGCGTGACCTCAGTGCTTTCTTGTCGTATCTCCATTTTTTTTAAACAGTGAAAATGCGACATCTTCTTAAGCTTACTTTTAATTATGAACTGTGTTCACTGTCATTAAAAATGGAGACACAACAGGAAAGCACTGGGGTCGCGAATTTTTATCCTGTGTCAAACTGATTGTTTCGTTAAAAGAACAAATGTTATAACGGAAAGATAAAGCAGTGAAAAGGCTTTGCTATACATGTCTGTATGTTCTTCATTGAACTTTCATTATGTGTATCCCTACATTATGTGAGCTTGAACACACTCTTTCCCTCAGGAGCAACAATATCAAATCAGACCACAGACAGACAATAAAGAAAAGAAGAGAATGCGGTTAGCTCTCATATTCCTTGTGACTGTCGCAAGATAAAAGATCTTTGTTCCTTCTTGAACTATTGACTAGCTGTGCACAGGGAAAAGCGTGGTGAAATCCAGCTTAAAGAGCGGATACATAACCTTGCAGGTACAGCTCTGATCCACTACACTGAAACACAAGTATGTGTTCTGTGTAAAGGGAACTGATTTGTCAAAAGTAAGTCGAAACTGTTACAATTGCAGTTGCTTTCATGCTTTCTGTGTATTAACGCTAGATTGGCAACTTCGACATGATCTTATCTTATATGTATTAACGTAACAAGAATATATTGTCAATAAATAATGACAAATAGAAAGAGGAGAGACATTAATTTATACAGAATACTTTACGTAACTGCCGAAATATCTGCACAAGTCAAACAGATCTGATCTCACTCATTAAAAAAACAGCATATTAATACTAGAAACAAATACTACAAAAACAATACAAAACTTTGCATACTTTAAAGAATGAGAAAACATATAATGCAGGAACTCAAATACAGTTTGCAAAAGTCTTTCAAGAAATAAAGATAAGGAAAAATAAAGAATACACTTACCATAAAACACTGGATACACGGTTCCCTTGATACCATTAAATGGGACACCCATTGGCTTTCCATTGAGGAAAAAGTTCAGTTCTATGTGGTCATACGTTAAACCCTGAATGGCAAGAAAGAAATTAAAACATTGAGTAAGTCACATAAAATATAAAATATAAGTAACTGACTTTAGTAGCGGTTTAAAAAAGTATCATAAAAAGGTAAAAACATAATTATAACAGTACATGATACATTTAAGATGAAAAGTTAATAGAAATACAGTTGCATATCATACATGAGGATAACTGCATTGTAAAAGGAAAACAATCCGACCATTAATAAAAAAAATAAAAATTTTTAATAAAAAGTACAATTCCATTTCAAAACCCTCAATGTCACTCGAAAAAACTAGTTTAATGGCATCCAAAGCCATAAGAACAAACTGTACAGAGTAGGTCATATCAGCAGCATACATCAAACCTGTTACTAAATGATAAGTCTTCTGCCTCCTCTCATTATGATTATCAGCTCTATCTGTGAGGAGCCGAGTACACCACAAGTCTCAAGGTGAACTTAATTAGAATTTCGCAAGACAACAACTACAACATAAATGACCCAAGCTTAAATCCCTCACGGGCCTCCTCAACAAACTTGGGATTGTTTGAGAATTTTTCAAACCCACTTGGCCCAGCCCATCAGAAGATGGACAAGTATCAGAGGCCCCACCTCTTAACTCAAACTCATAACATACTTTCACATAACAACAGACAAAAATAATTTTCTGACTGAACACAACAACAAAAATGTTTGCTTATGGGACGATCTTTCAGATACATACCAAAATATCCCCCTCCTGGGGTACATCTGGTAGGCGAGCCTTCTCTTCCTGGTTGTGATTCATGCAGCCATCTTGGCGTAAGACCCATGATTCTGCGTCAGTACCCAGTGGGGTTTTGTTCAAGTTGCACCGTCTGGTAGCCAAACCCACGCCCCAGGAGCCTAAGGTAGAAGTTCAAAGACAATGTTAGCCTAATTTGGCTCCTAAACATGTGTTTAAGCAATGCCAGAGAAGAAAAAAGCTCACTGGGATTCACTCTTAAGCAAGACATTGTAAGTCTATATCTATTTTAAAAAACAGGGTGTTGTACTTCATAAGAACCAGCAGCAATAGTTGAAGTTAAGTGTTTATTTTTATTATAGTAAGGTCTCCCACTGAAAGACAACTTCTCAATAACTCCCTTGGCCATCCTGTTCTTCTTAAGGTACTATTTTAGTCCCCTATGGAACACTGAGTGTTAAAACCAAATACATGTAATTTATAACACTATCACTGATGTAAAATGTATTCAATCTCTGCGGAATACCAAGAGTGCATTATAACTCTGTAAACTGAAACATAGTGTAAGGTACCTTTTCAAAAGGACAAAAATTTCAAACATCAGGGAGCTGGGAATCAAACTCATAACTTTTTTTATGCAAAAGGATATTTTGGAAATAGTAATGGAAGTGGTACTTTGTGTTATATGCTGTATCTTGAGCATTTATGCATGCACTGGATTCTGGATTGGAAAAACATAAAATCATTTATTATAAAAGAATACAGCATTTCTTTTTTATAGCTTTCTCTTTCTTTCTAAATTCCACAGCTGCAATTATCATGAAAGACATTTTCTCAAAAGAATAGCATAAAAATTCATGCATAATATAATTGGAATACAGACAACACAAATCATAATTGGAACACAGAACGGAATCATGTGGTACATTGTGACCAGAAAGGTCTTCAGACATTTTTTTATTCTGCATTCCCTTTGCAGATGTCAAGGAGTAGTCAACTTCTACACATTATGTTTTGTAATGCAAGCCAAGGAGCAGTTGATTTTCTGGAAAAGCCTGTCTCCTAACCAGAGTATAGGATCAGCTCTTGTTCTTCAGGCTGACCTTTCCTGTTAAGGGCTGTACTTATATTTCTTTTAAAACTTAACAGACTTTTTAGAAGCTATGGGCAGGGATTCATTTTTTTATTTTAAAAAAGGGTAACTAGACAGGACAGGTCTGAGCTCTTTTCCCTTTGAACTATCAAAGTGTTTTCAAATCCACAATGTTCACAGTGAACTGCAGAGAGATTTTTTTGGGGGGGTCAGTTCAAGAATTATGAGAGTACAGTCTTTAACATGAGGAAAGGTGAACCAGAACAGCAAAAATTGATCCTACACTATCTATGAAGACCAGGAACAAGATACTACCTACTCAAGATTCATGAGATGTGGAAACAATGACAATGAGAAAATCACAAAGACATCAAATGTACCACCCATGCCTGTACACAGTCGAGGTCAAACCTGATAATTGTAAAATACTTTTTAGCTTTATCTGTTGAATAAAAAACCTGCAAACCCAACACATGAAAAATTACCTGTACACTGGATCTTGATTTCAAAGTAAGCCTTGTTCTGTGCAATTGGGGCATTGGCCAGAGCAGCGCCATTTCCACATATCCTGTGCCCATTCTTTACTATGACAACATCATTTCCTGGAAAGCAAAAATATAATATCAGCACAGAAAGAAAGAAATAAACATTTACATATTTCGAAAACAAACAGAAAAAAAACCCAACTCACAAAGTAACTGGTGTCAACATCACTCAATTCAGCCATAAAGGTGTGGAAGAGCATGTTATTCATATGCAGATGAGGGGCAAAGGGCTAAGGGGGGGGAAAATGCAAAAGAAGTAAGAAAGACGCATGGGAAGAGTGGCAAGGTTGGCTAAGGATGAGAAATGAGAGTAAGAGAAAAGAGGAATGTGTTAGCAATGACCACGAAAAACCTTTTTTTGCCAGAAAGTGTTTGCAGATAGGTGCATTTTGTAGCTGTATCTTCACAGAGCATGGAACTTTTTGAATTTTTGAAATCCATCAATAAACAAAAAAGTTACGGATTTTTTAATCAAGAATTAATTTTTGGTACTTTTATATAATGAAAAAACACCAAAATATAGGATGTTCTTTGGTGAGTTTTGAGACAATATTCGTCATAACTCGCTCATTTCTCGGAGTATTTAAAAGAAACTTGGCAACCCAGTACATTTTCTAGTGCAGAAGCTAGTCCTGCTTTCAGATTTTTCGTAGAGCAGCTATCCTATTTTTTGAGTTATGAAGATGTTTATAGGTAAAAATGTGGCGGTTTTCTGTGCATTTTGAGACAATATTTGTCATAGCTCGCCTATTTCTTGAAATATGTAAATGAAACTTGGCAGTCTAGTACATTTTTTAATGCACAATCTAGTCATGCTGTCAGATTTTTAATATCTGTCATATTTTTTGAGTTGTAAAGACATTAACAGGTAAAAATGTGGCGTTCTTTACAGATTTACAAAGATTATCAGTCATATGTGTTCTCCTGCCTAAAGTCATGATATTTGAATGAAACTTGGCAACATAAAAGGTTCCTCCTTGCCAAGCAATGCTCTGGATCAATTTGTCACAAAAATGTAAGTAGAGAGCTGGATTTATTAGTCTAATATATCCAGTTCTGTACTTGTAAAAGCATGCATGCTTTGTTATAGAAAATAAGATCGTCTCTGTGTGTATATCCATTGTTGGACAGTGTCCTATTGTGTGGTAGATTAAGATGCGTTCAAATAATATAGTTTACAAGTCATGGGAATATTTCGCATGTGTAGGCTACAACTCATACAACAAATGAAATGTAACATATTTACACACTCCCCCCCCCCCCTTTCTCTCTCTCTCTTTCTCTCTCTCTCTTTTTCTCTCTCTCTCTCTCTCTCTCTCTCTCTCTCTCTCTCTCTCTCTCTCTCTCTCTCTCTCTCTCTCTCTCTCTCTCTCTCTCTCACGCGCGCACACACACACACTCACGCGTGAACGATAACAATGTATAAACGGGACTATCTTCCCAGACTGGACTAAATAAGTACCATACTCTTTAATAACAATCTTAATGCCTCACTTTTCCAGACAGAGCACACAGGACAAGTCCAAGTGTATGCTTTCCCAAGAGGGGAGAATAGGCTTTCATAAACGCAAACACAATGCCATACCACTTCTCAAGATGTTTGCTTTTCTATTTCTATTCTTCTGTCATGCAATCAAGCAAATAAAAATGACTACATCTATTGTATTATGACTAAAATGCAACAAAAACGCAAGTTATCAAGGCCCCCGTTTAGTTTTCAAGTATCCTTCCCCCCCCCCCCCTTTCCGGTAAGCCGGGCCTCGTTTGTAGCGCCCAAGGCGACAGATGGCTGCTGACGTCACTCAGTGGAAATTTCCCAGCCGCCGGTCATTCGCCGAGCACGCGTAAATGGCAATGCCACTTTTTCCCTTAGTTTCTCCCACATTTTTAAAGATTACGCGAAAACCGCTAAACACAGAAGCTTGAAATTTTAAGGGAATAAAGAAAAATGGTGTACAACATATCAGTCAGTTTGACAAATCACAGCACCGAAAAATCTTCAAAGCCCACCACATCAACCACTTTCGCAAACGTTTTCGACTGCTTCTAGGATGGGTACAATGTTGTCAAACTGCATACTACGAGATTGACCTCTTTTCTGATTGGCTGCCAAGTTTTATTCATATCCATTCACGAGAAGCAGAGTGAGAGCGAGTTGAAGACAACAACCTTTGCGTTAGTGCGTCCCACGAAACACCCCCGCTGCGGGGGCAAAAAATCGGCAGAACAAAACGCGCTCGGTGGGCATTGCTAATGTATTTACCCAACTCTAAAATCATGGATTTCAACAGATTAAAAACAAAAAATAGAAACCCCAGGCACAATACTAATAATAACTTGCCAGCGAAGGCTATTCTCACCCGGTGTGAAACAAAACCTTTTTTTCCAAATTTCGGAATACTGTCTATCAGTGTGGATGATCAAATTGACAAAAAAGAAAAAATGACGTCATAGCACAAAAGTAAGCTAATTTGATCGTCTTCAAAGTTGTTATGGCTATTTCACTTTTCCAATCGAGCGGAACTACGCGGGTCTTCATTTTGTTTTTCCCGGAAGTTCTCCCAAGATCTACTCCTCTCTCTCTCTGTCTGTCTATTTCTGAATACTGTCTATCAGTGTGAACGATCAAATTGACAAAAAACAAAGAAAAAAAGATGTTAAAAACACAAAACAAATTACTTTGGTCGTCTACAAAGATGCTACCGCTATTATTAAATTAACTTTTCGAATTTAACCGAACTACGCAGATCGCCATTTTATTTTGCCCGAAAGTTCTGTTCTCGCACTACTCCTCTCTTTCACCCCCCCCCCCTCTCTCTTTCTCTCTTACAGCCCACAGACAAAATTGCACGCTTTCAACACAAGAGCGCTGGAACGTTTGTTCACGGCACAGAATTCTACACTTCTGTTATCACAGTGTAGAATTCAGAGGTTCACTGTGAATGCTACACTGGTAGGCCTAGGCTAGGCTATCACGGTGAACGCACACCGGGTGAGAATAGCCAAACGGCTCGCCCAGGGTGAGAATAGTGGTGGCCTTTTAGAAGGCACCATTGGATTTTGAGGACACTTTACTTTATTAATTATAAAGGCCAGCTTTATTTCTCCGAACGTTCAGGAAAATAAACTTGAACTCTATTTCTCCTAACGGTTTCTGTTCTCTCGAGATTTGTTGATAATAAGCGAATGGAGTGGCCTGTGTGTGTGTGTGTAAGGTGTGAGCGGATTGGGGGGGGGGGGGGTGTGGAGATATTTTGTTTTTACATGATGAAGGATTTTAGTTTTTGATTTTGCTAGGTGACCAAATGCAAAATAGGTTACTGCCAATGTCGAGCAGTCTTGTTTTCTCACAGTACCTTTTGGAGGTATTTTCAAATGAAGTATGTCCGAAAACGTTGCCCCAACCACGACTGAAGTATCTGAATATTCAGATATATATATAAAAATCTCCAACTCTAGAAACTGAATTTGATGCAAAAAATGCTTCTTCCCAGTCCTCGCAGAATGACAGAATGAAAGGATGACTCCTAAATCTCGCAAATAACAAAAAAAATCTCGAGATCGGAAACCGTTTGGAGAAATCGAGTTCAGCTTTATTTTCCCGAACGTTCGGAGAAATAGTCACTTTGTATTAATAAGGCCACCTCTATTCTCACCCCGGGTGAGAATAGCGCAGGCGAGTCTTTTGGCTATTCTCACCACCGCCCGGTGGGCGTTCACTGTTATAGCCTAGGCCAACTAGTGAAGCGTTCACCCTGAACCACATAATTCTACACTGTGATAACAGAATTATAGAATTCTGTGCTGTGAACAAACGTTCTAGATCTATTACTAGAGTTAACTGTTAGTGTTAGCCTAAAAGCGTGCAATTTTGTCTGTGGGCAGTGGAGAGAGAGAAAGAGAGAGAGAGAGGAGTAGCGCGAGAACTTCCGGGCAAAACAAAATGGCGACCCGCATAGTTCGTCTCGATTCGGAAAGTTCAATAGCCGTAGCATCTTTGTAGACGATCAAATTAGCATACTTTTGTGCTATAACGTAATTTTTTCTTGGCTTTTATCAATTTGATCATCCACACCGATAGACAGTATTCCAAATTGAGAAAAAACAGGTTTTGTTTCACACCGGGTGAGAATAGCCTACGCTGGCAAGTCTCACCCGGGGTGAGAGGTAGATCGTATTTTTATTCTCACCCCGGGTGAGAATAGCAACTTCCATTAATAAATTGGCTCAAAGAGAGGAGTGAACTATCTTGTTATGCAAGATCTTTGATTTGAGTCAGGGAAGGACTTCCATAACGAGCGACCACCCCAACAAACACAATGAAGAAGAGGCCTAACCCTAACCCAACCCCTAGATCAACCGGGCCCCTACCCCTAGTCCTAGCCCTAGCCCTCAATTCTACTCTGTCTCACAGTGGTCGCTCGTTACGGAAGTCCTCCCTGAATCAGTATCGATATCCAGTACTCTTGGGGCCAAAACCGGAGAATTCCAAAGTTGGGGACAAAGTTGTTCAATCAAAATGAAAGCCCAAAGCCTTAATAAGTTAATGCCTTAATTTCACTGAACAGTGAACAGACTTCTTCCAGTTAGTCAGTCAGTCGGCCCGAGTCAGGGCCAGTAGGGGTTCATATTTTCAAAGGCTGTAGATCAATCCGGAGAGTATTGCAAAAAAAAACCCCAATAATATGACAAGTTCATACCCATAAAACTGGTATCCAATTTCACAGACGGCAGTTCCTTCAACTGAACATGGCCAGAACCGAAAGCACCGTCACGACAACAACAAAAGATGTAAGAAGCCATCTTGATATCGGAAATGACACTTAATCGTGCGGGTTATCGCCCTTTATATTTCCAGATTTCATCAAAACTGCAGTTTAGGGCTACCTGGCTTCAAGAGGAGCCCGCCTGCGCACTGTCAATTCCACAAGTAGGCGAATAACTTTAGCTAGATTCTAATTCTAACCTATTTTACCAACAAGAGGGTTTTTACAAATTGCAACAAAAGTAAAGGGAATTGAAGGCTTTGAAAGCTAGATCTACAAATGTGTCAAACTTTTTTTTCTGCCAGAGTTCGTCTCATCGGCCATAACAGAATTCACACGTCACCTTTATAATTATAATAGAGTCTATGTTAGTAACACTAGAGTCTTACCAGAGAGGGTTTGCTTTAAAACTCTCTGGGTCTAACCTCCTTGTTTTAACCACTTCATTTTTTATTCTTCAATTTTCCTTGAAAAAAATATTTTCCTCTGGAAATGCAATGATCATCGTTAGACGTTGACAGATGAACTATGATTGTTTTTTATTATAACATTTATATAATAGGCTATTATGTAAAAGCGTGCTTTATGTGTGTGTGTGTGTGTGTGTGTGTGTGTGTGTGTGTGTGTGTGTGTGTGTGTGTGTGTGCCAGTGTCATTTTGTTTTCTGTTGCCTGTGATGTTGTGTGTGAGCTGTTTTTTTACACATCTTTGGGTCTGTAATTTTAAGCTGATCATTTACGTGACAGTTCTAGGATTTTTTTCATTCTTTAATTAATTCGTTTTTATTTATTATTATCATTATGATGATGATTATTATTACAATCATCGTTTTTATTATTATCGTATCTGAATAACAAACAAGACATTGGTACGCTCCACGGAAAAGGACCAATCTGGAGAACATCAAAAAGTGGTAAACCTACTCTCTGACCCGGAAGTAGTTATTTTTATTTCTACCTCTGTCTTTGTTGATCAAGTTTCTTCTACTTTCGATTTTGTTATATAATGCAGTGACATTACATAAATTGCTCAGGATGATATTTAAGGCAATATCAAATTCTTACTGCCAGCACACTCGCAGGTTCAAATATTTATATGATAATTGTAGTTTGCTGTAGAACAGCTTACGTCTTCGGCTGAAATTTTAATAGATTGCTTGTGTACGAATTTTTAGTCTTGAGATCTAGATCTAGATCTATAGTCTATAGTCTATATAATCTAGATCTAGATCTAGAGTCTAGATCTTCTAGTCTAGATTTCTAAAGATCTAGATCTATGACGACGGCGAAGGTAGATCTAGACTCTACATATCTAGATTCTATATCTAGATTCTATATCTAGATCTAGATCTAATCTAGATCTAGATCTGAAACGATTATAATTCGATCTCTAGATATCTAGAAATCTAGATTAGATCTATTCTAAGATCAAGTTCCACCCTTGAGTCAATCTTGCCGACGAAAAGTAGGCTAAAGAGAACTGTCGATCCAAGGTTTCGTGGATGTTCTGACTTCGATTTGGTAAATGTCCTTATAAATCGTTTGATAAGGGTCAATAAATAGTGAAGAGACATCAGTGCAGTGCAGCCCACACTGCTCAGCGGCTAAGGTGGCGTCAAGCCCAAGATTCTAGTCATAGTATTCTTGTTTACATATTTTAGAAGTTCCTTGACTTTGACGGTTAGGCAATAATTCTGTTCTATGGTGTAGCAAACGCTTCACTTTTGAGATAACTTCTGAGATTTCTCAAGATAACGTTGCCTTTTTTACAGGAACTGTATAGGACATTTAAAGGACCATTTGCAACTCCATATACAGGTATGTTTGCACTTGAATCATAATTTATGAAGTTGAAAATGTAAGCCTTTTGATCTGAGATGAGGAATTGGACTCACTTCTTCTGCTGCTTCTCCTTTTCCTGTTTTTCCAGTACACGTACACTCTGATCAGACTCTCTCAACTTCTTTTAATTCTTGCCTCCCAACCCCCGCCGCTATCTTATATTTCTTGTCTCCTCCTCTCTCTCTTATTTTTCTGTCCGTTTAGCAATTTTTATTGAATTATAATTTTAATCAGGGTACACCTGTTTAAGTTTAAGGCCCATTTAAAAACACATTTCTGTGTGGATTTCTATGTTGATTTAAGACACAAATTTGTATTTGCTGTTTGTATGGACTCTCAAACTTAAGAAATTGCTAAATTTTGGCAACCATTTCCTCACAGATTTTACCTCTGAAACCAGGTGACCCCTAAACTTCCTTTAATTTAAATATCTCAACTTCTATTCGTGATAGATGAGTATATTTTTTTCACGAAAAGATATACAAATGAACAAGCCTTAAAATGATACCACAACCAAAGACAAATGAACAAGCTTTAATATGATCGGATACACTGGCAATATATTCACATGTCCAAAAATTGCTGAGCGCCCGATTCCACCATGTCGTGACATATATACAGGCCATGTCTTTAGGCCATTCCCAAAGGGAGGACATTTCTCGTTCTAATGCACAGTAGAATTGTAAATGGGCTGATCCAACAATGTCACGCTCATAACTGTGCCTTAACTACCACAGGGAACTGCTGCTTTGTCTTTCCTAATCCTTACTATCGTCATTTTCCTCTACTCTTTTTGTATGTTTGTCACCCTCTTGTGACCCCCTATTTCCAGGCTGCCTTGATCTAAGTCGAAGCAGACTGTGTGGTGTTGAAGCTAGAGAGGTGAGCAGAGTAAGTCTGATTCCCTGTAAGGACTTCTCTGTTGACATCCACCCCTTGGCGCTCATATGACCTTATGCAGTTGCGAGTGCCGTAAAACCTCTATAAAACAAAACAAAAAAAACAGCTGCAAACAGGACCTCAAAGATTTTTCGCCCTTATATCTAAGAACGCTAGGTGTTCCATCTTACCTCTACACTAAGGTCATGGGTGTAGCTGAAAGACTAATTTTCGTAATATTCATCAAGTTAATTTGCTTCCTTTACAGCCACTCCCTTTCACCGTAACTTAATCTAACATAATTAAAATAATACATATGTATATATATATATATATATATGATATATATCAATTTATTTTCAAGATCATCAGTAAATGCTTGTTTTGATTCTCTTGAAATTGAATAATTTGTACTAGACTAACAAAACTGCTACATTTCTGTGCAGCATTGTTCATCTCCATATATATTCTTTGTGTCTGTCAACAGGTTCCAGTCATTAACAGTGTACAGTACTCTTCATCAGCTGCTTCTGTCTTTGCCCTGCTACTCTTCAGCCAACGTTTGACACGTGTCAGTACTCCTTTAATCTCTCAGATCAGAGGCCATCAGCACAGCGACTCAAAGAGTGAACATTCTGATAAAGAGGATTCTAAGTGAGGAATTTTGTATCTCAAGGCTAAACTCAAAAGCTTTAAAAAGTGTTTAAAAAGTAGTTTTCTCTTATTGTGCTTTTTATAGTATAGTCTCTGGAGTCTTGATTCATATGATTGGGTGATGAATAGTAGTAGCATTGTCTCCTGAGACTGCTTTTTTTTTTCTCACACATCTTCATTTATTTTTTTTATGTGCAATTTTTGGTATAAATGGAGTTGCTCGGTTCCACCTTGAACTGCTGTGGAATTTATTTTTGAGTGTCCAGTTTAGTAAAAAAGTTTTAAGTTTTTAAAAAAGTTATTTCCCGTAATTCAAAAGTTATTAATACAAATATACACTGTTCTGTGCTTGCATTCACTGTGTGGAAGGACAGATTTTTAGAATTATTTGCGTTATCAATGAGGCATAGTTTATTTTAATGAGGATGTCTTACCTACTACTTTCATTTTTCTCAGAGAACCAGAAGTGATGCCGAAACCATCCATCTCAGAGGCTTTGAAAAAGGCAAAGACCGAAGCAGCTTGGGGTTTGTTTGTGGCTGATTCTCTTGCTATGCCAGTGCATTGGTACTATAATCCAGACGATATTGTCTCAGATTATGGTAGCTGGCTTAAAGGATATATTGCTCCCAACGCAAAGCATCCATCTTCAATTCTTCGTCTGTCAGCTGTTGGTAAGTGTTCAATCGCATTTTTGTTCAGTTCATCCCTCATCCGTATCGTAGACTTGATTAAAATTGATAAAGAAAATATGTGGCTCCTATGTCAAAGTGTTCATTTTAAATTAAGGGCGGGCACGAGACGAGCCGAGTACTCGTTTCTCGCGGGAAACGCCCTTCCCGTCGCTTCCCGAGCACTAAACTACTGCTTGGTACCGAGGCGTGATACTGCTCGTTGGCTTGACATAATGAGTAACACTAACGAGAGTGAGAGAGTGAGAGGCGAGAAATGACAACGCAGACAGTGCCACCCATCACCGTGCCGTCCTGTGTGTGAAACTGAAAGGGAGGGGAGAGGGTGGCGAGACGAGGCGAGTGGGGAGTTGATCAGGGCCTAGGCCTAGGTCGTCTCCCTACCTTCCTTCACCGCCTGCGCCTGCGCACCAGGGCAAGCCTAGTTTCTAAGTTTAGATCCCTGCAACGACCGGCCTTCCCGCTAAACGGGTTGCTCGTTCTGTGGGGCGAGAAGAGAAATCTCGGCCACGGCCGGCCTTCTCGCTGAACGAGCAGCTCGAACTGCGGGGCGAGAAGAGAAATTGGTCACGAGACGAGAAGCATTGCTCGAGACTCGAGACACGAAACGGGAAGTATTTCTCGTTCCCGGGACCAGTCTTGGCGAGAAATAGGTCAGCTACTCGGTCTTCTCGCTCGGGAAGGAAAATGCGCTTCCCGCCCGTCTCTATTTTAAATGTTCAATGTAAGTAGAACCAGGACAGAAACCTGTATTAATTGAACCTACCCAGAATCTGTAATAGTATTAAGTTGTAGCTTTGAATTTCTCCTTTTGTTTGTAGCTCCTGTTAAATTACAAACTTCGAAATCATTTCAAGAGAAAAAAAAAGTCTGTTCAGAAAAGCCTTTGCTGGAATAGTCCTTAAAAAAAAGATGAAGCATAGTCGTCAGGTACTGGATTTGCTCACAGAACAATGAAGAATATGGCCAGAATGATCTTCTCATTAACTCTTTAAGGACTTAATGGACGCTTGTCCAATCAGCAGCCGAGTAAAGGCAATGTTTCAGCACATTTTGAACCATCGTACACAAAAATCGGAAACTTGAGTTTGCTAATAGTATTCATGTTGTTGAATGCTTGTTAAAAGGTCAGGGAAAGAAAAGAAAATTGAAAACTGTGTTTGAGTAATGAAGATATACCTCATAACAGATAATCTTCAAGTGTTGTTGAGTGGCCAATGCATCCTTAATGAGTTAATAGATATTTGCTTCAGAGGAGAAAAAGTGAAAAAGCACATCTTTGGGGATAATACGTAAGCAGATTTCACACTAAGTTTTCCCATTCCTGTAGGTTGAAAGGGCTCCATAAGAAGAGGCCATCTTGGTTTAAGACATTTTCAGATTTATCTTTCAACAACGGATTTGACGCGATATTCTGAGGGTACTAATTGTAGGCGGGACAGACATCACATAGACAGGATAAGAACAATCTGTTCCTTTAAGGATCTAAACTGTGTTGATGGGAACATTGAGACTTACAACAAAGTAAGCTGAAAGGATTTTCATCCAGTCTCATTTGTTGAGGATTTTTTATGCTATCTTCAGTGATCACTAAGATTACACAGGGTAAGAGATCAAGGGGAAGGCCACATGGAACAAGGTACAGAAAGATGGAAAGACATGGAATAGTGTCAAGAAGCTAGCCCAAGATGGAGAAAAGTGGAAAGTGTTTGATGGTCTCCTCTATACCCAGGATGAGATAGGAAATTCCATTGATGACAGTGATAACTCACTCACTCACTGTCAGTGGTCACAAACTTTGTCCTCAGATGGCAGTGGCAGGGGGTCAACCAGCAGCAGTAACTCTCTCATCGGTTCTGTGATACTTCATGACAAGCTCAAGTATTGGAATGGAAGCGCCAGCAGTAACCACTACCATCAAGGTTAGTCGAGAAATCACCCTCACTGTTCATTTTTCATGTTTTAACATTTCACCGGCCCGTAATTCAGATGTGCTAAATTCAAAATTTGGAAATGTTTTGAATTGCATTTTCTTAATCAGTGGTACATGTTGCGTGTAATTGCAACATATTTTGCTGAAATTTAAGTTCTAAATGTTGGGGATAAAATGTAAAAATTCATGATGTAAATATCATATATAGATCTAATTGTTAATTAAAAGAATAAAACATTTGTTTCCCTCTTCGAAAAAAAATTATTTTATGGGCCTAGAGCTGTTGAACTACTGCTGACAATTTGTTTTGTTTGGGGGTTTTTTAATTGGATAGGATCTTACTATCACCACTGTTGTCATCATCCTGATTGCTCATATCAATATTGTCTCCATCATCCCTATCCTGTTATAATTTTTTTTTGTATAGGACCATAAAGGAAAGTCTAGAAAATTCACACTTTGACAGGACCTTAAAGGAAAGTCTAGAAAATTCACACTTTGACTAGAAACATAGATTTCCATTTTCAAGAGACTTCATCAGGGTCTGTCTTTAGGTAAACTTAAGAAGGTCTGCCTCTCTTTTATCTCTATCTCTTTAATTGTTATGAAGCTTAAATGTTAGAACTTACTTCTTTATTATCCATTAAATATTTCTGCCTATCTGTGTGCCCTTTAACAAAAATCCAAACAGAAGAAAACTTTATCATGCCAAAGTGCTTCTTTTTAACTCTTAATGGTCTAAACAATAGTTATTCATAAGAATTAAATAATGCACATGTCTTAACACTGAACAAGTATTTGTTTACCTTACTTTTGCAGGAATGAAAGCAGGAGATAACACCCTCAATGCTGTTATGGCATTACATGAAATGCAGACAATGAACAGGGTAGACCATGACCTAATTAAGCCCGAGAGAGATGTGAGAGGAGCGGTGCTAGCGGATTATGTGTCATTCATGACTACCCCAGGCTCACATAATGACACATATGCAGAGTCCTTTCACAGAGCTTTCTTCAAAGACTGGGTACCCGCAGGAGAGCCAAAGACAGAGGAAGAAATACTGGAGTTTGCTGAAACAAGGTGTGCACAAGCGACTGCGAGTTGTGATTGTTGTAGTGGTAGTTGTTATGGTCTTGTTTTTCTTGGACTGTGATTATTGCTATAACTTCTGGGCTTTCTCTTTGGTTGATTTCAGTCATGAGGTAAGCTTACCTTTTTCTGCCCCGGCAGGACTTTTTGCCCTAATTATTTGAAAGGAAGTGTCTCCCAAGACCAGGATCCTGGTTAACAGAGACACCCAGTCTAGGGGGACCATTAAAATATTTTGCTTTACGCATGCATGACCTCGGGAATCGTTTCCTTCTGCTTCCAAGTGTTGTCATTTCGTTTTTCCAAAATGGCGGGGACGGTCGCTTCGGTGGCAATCGAGACATAAACGTAAAAGACAAGATGTAATCTAGATCTAGGCCTAGTATGGGCCGAATGGTGAAACACACTCACCCAAAAAATATCATTTAACTTCGTAATCGGACGTTAAATAGTGTTCCACGCGTGAAATTTTGAAATTTTGGGTCACTGATCACGAAAATCTTATTACTTTTTTTTATTTGGACAATATTTAGGAAATTTTTTGAATGCATTTTTAACTCCGCCTTGGGCAACAACAAAGAAGCCGCCCACCTTGGGCAACAACGAAGAAGCCGCCTTATGCGCCGGATCAGTCCTGTCCTAATGGGGTATCTGTTTTCTGTTTTGATACGCAAGAAATCCACAGTGGGACAGGACAACCCCAGCCTTATTCATCTCTCTCTTTCTCTCAAGCCCCCCCCCCCCTTTTTCTCTCTCTCCCTCCCTCCCTGATCTCTCTCTCTCTCACACACACTCACACACACACACATTTTCTCTCCCTCTCTCTCTCCCCTTCTTTCTTTCTTCTTTCTTTCTTTCTCACTTCTCTCTCTCTCTCTCTCTCTCTCTCTCTCTCTCTCTCTCTCTCTCTCTCTCTCTCTCTCTCTCTCTCTCTCTCTCTCTCTCTCTCTCTCTCTCTCTCTCTCTCTCTCTCTCTCTCTCTCTCTTCGGATAAATAACCCACCCAGGTTTTGAATGAAAAGACCACATTTTAATCTCTGAGGACCAATATCCTGGTCCCCCTAGACTCTACGTATTTGAAGTGTGCTTCAGCTATCTATCTTAATCCGGAAATTATAGCTATCGAAAACTCTCTGCTACCATTTGTATTGTAACTTCTCAGTCAGCTCCTGGTGGGGGGGGGGGGTCATGCATGCGCGCACACTTACAATATATAAAATAGTTTGCTAAACATTGTGATGATATATGGATTGATTAATAATACCTTAACTTTAAATGAGTTGCCATTCTGTAAAGTTTTGAACAAACTGCTTTAACTGGATGTAGTGGCTGTAGATCTATGCAAATACACATTGTCCGTGATGACAGAACTAATAACTTAATTTTAGCATTTTTGCATGATTTGACAGATCAAAAGAGATGATGAAAGGCAGACCGGATTCCCAACTTGCCGTGATTGGCAGCCTGGTGCCGGCTATACCGTGGGTCATCCGGAATGCTCACAAGTCAGAAAAGGAATGTGCTCAGTCTGTTGTAGACTTTGTGAAGTTGACCCACCCTGTACCATCTCTCATACAGTTTGTGGATACCTACGCCCGTTTGTTGCATGCTGTGATCAATGGGAAAGATCTCAAGGCTGAGGTATTCTATGGTCATTCTACGAAATCTACTTCAATAAAAATCAATTCCATGATTCTGGTCATTCTTATATATGGATTTGTTTGTTGCTCTTTTTTAATTGTTTTAGAAAAAATAATGGTCAATGTTGAATATGGATGGGGGGGGGGGGGGGGGGGGCAAGAGGCACCAGTAAGTGAATACAAAAAGGGGGAGAGAGGAAAGAAAGAGTGTTCATAATTTTTGCAAGTGATCAGAGAGAAAAATATTTCAGTAACAGAAATTTTTGTTGAATTTTGTTTACATAGGCATGCACATGAAGACCCACATGTCCACTGATGCTCACACTTTAGCACATGTGCTCATATTTGCTTTTCTTATGCTTTTTTGCACTTTTGCAAACAAATTTGAATTATACTTACATAAAACTTCTTGGTAACTTTTTTTTGTCTAATATCAGGTTTTACGAGTCCTAAGTCATTCGATCTTGGGAGGACCTGCAAACCGTGATAAAATTCTCCAGATACTCGACAGTGCAGAATCGTGAGTATTTTTTCAAATGAGAATGAGTCGATTAATGTTTACCGTTCTTGGAAAAAAGTTTTTACAATGTTCCAAGTAATTATCAATCTGTGATTTTAGGGGCTGTGGTGTGGTCTGCTCTGTGTCATTCCATTTCTGTATTACTTTTATCATAAACTCATTCATCTTAAAATGTGTCAGTAGTCAAAATGTTTTACAGAAAACTGTGGAACAACTTCAACCAAACCCCTCTCCCCTTCCCTGGTTGTCGGACTGTAAAGCATGTCTCGATGTGCTAACTCCAAATAATGAACATTGAGGAGAATGGTCATGGTAATAAGAGTGTCAGGCTTGCTGAGGACACTCTAAATGGATCGAGCTGTAGTGATGAGTTCCTTTGCGAAATTTCCTTTCTGACCAGGAAGTTCCCTCTCTGACCAGTCTATTAGCTCTCTCCTCTTTAGCTGAAGCCCCCCTCCCCAAAGTAGTATCAGTTAGTTACACCCATTGACCATGTGTAGAAGATAGAATTGCACAATGAGGCAATAATACTCATGATAAAAAAGCTAAGATGTATGTGTAATACAGTCTAGCGTGCACAAAGCAAACATGCACATAACAAAACGCACACATAGCAAACATATTCCTTGGTCCCAAATTTTTTTCTTATACATGTATATTTTTTGTATTTAAAACATGCACACAGCCAAATTTGTACATAAAGTAAAGATTTCCACGTCCTGCCCATTTCTCTAAGTGCATTCTAGACTATGTATTTTGTGGTATCTCTACTTTTATTTCCATCTCTTCTTCTTTACCATTACAACAGAGTGAGTTGCCCCAACTTTGAAACTGTCCATTTATGTCTTTTTGGCCAGCTGGCAGGGCACCACTGGTTAGTCCTTTTTTACTCTCCCATTGTTGTTTCTGTCTATCAGTCTTGCTTTTTGTGAATGATTTGAGGGTGCCACTGTTAGGTCTTACACACTCACACACACACACATTTTCTCTCCCTCTCTCTCTCCCCTTCTTTCTTTCTTTCTTTTTTAATTTCCTTTTATGTTTCTGTCTGTCCATCTTACTTTTCCCTCCGCACTAAAAGGTGTCATTGTCCTTCCACCCCTTTACTCAATCTGGTGAAATCTCAGGATCCCCCGAGGCACAGAAGAACGATTGGAGCTGTACCAGATAATGACGGGAAGACTTGGTTCGGCATGCTACATTGAGGGTGCTCTCAGTTCATTGCTCTTCCTCGCCCTCGAGTTCCACAATGACTTCGAAGGAGGTGTCCTTGCCAATGCAAACTGTGGGGGTGAGTGATGGTGGATTTTTCATTGGCTCATGATGTTATAATAACTCGTAGGTTGATTCATCATAAAATCCTTATTTCAGTCCATACTTTGCCCGAGTTGTCCCCTTTGAAAAGATATGTTTTCCTGAATTTGTTTGAATCACCTTGCTGCAAAAAGGAATTTGGCAATTAGTAGGGACTGAAAAAGATTGATTCAGTCACGTTCTAGCCATGTAACTGGAAGAAACAGGTCAGTTTTTTTTCTTACCCTTTGGCGAGGTCATTTTGCGGGTCCTCAATAAAATTCAGGAATAAGCGTGCACTGTAAATGTACTTAAAACAGAATACAGAATTTTCAAAGTTGCTCTATGACAAATTCATCTGATCTGTGTGAATGACCTGTCTCCTGAGAAATGTGGCACCATTCTTTTACCTCTCTGTCAAATTTTGAAAAAATAGCAGCTGAGGTTGTAATGTGTTTTACTTTCACTTTCACTTTATGATTTAATATTACAATGTAGTGGGAAACATTTCTACATACTTATAGCTGTGAGGTCAAAGATGTGCCTGTGTTAAATTTAATACAGTCTGTATTTATATAACAGCATGGGGTTCCGAATTGAAATCCAAGAATGATTCGCGATTATTTCATATGTAGAACTGTCCCCGAAGAATTATGCAAATGTTGATGACAAAATTATGCAAGACAAATGCAAAATTATGCAAGACAAATGCAAGTTACCGTAACGCCATTCTCGACATGTTTTGCACTTTTTCAACAAGAATTTCCATGTTTTAGATCTGTGTACAAAAGAATTGAAAACAGAACATATCAGTATCAGTAGTTTTTTGGTGTATTTTGAAAAATATTCATCAGTCAGATAAAAGAAAACAACCAAAAAATAAAGTTTCTGTAACTCTCAGCTGTAGAGGAAAGAAAAATGATTTTTACAAATTTGAAGGGGAAAAAAAAAAAAAACCATCTGGGCCTCTGATGAAGGTACATCACTAAAACCAGAGACACCTGTCAAACGTGAAACATCAGCAGACATGAGATCAACTTGAACAATTTAACATGCTCAAGGAACCAAAATCCATTACAAGGGAAATAACCAACTTGTCTTTTAAATGAGACTTATTATTCTGATTACTTCCCGTTAGTCACATGGTGAGGCGTTAAATTGTTTTGTGAAGAGTTTTATTAAAAAGTGTGAAAAAACGCAGGGAATCCAAAATTATGCAAATGTTGCAGAATTATGCGAAAAAACGCGGCCGCATCGCATAATCCAACAGGGACAGGTAGCAGAATTTTTTTTTCCTCTCGGCTTTGCATACTGACCGGAATACTCTGCGTTTGAGATTACCTGAATTATGTCTAGTTTGGGTTAACCTTTCCATTCAAAATATAGTCAAACTTTCTCTAATGTATGAGATAAGATAAGATAATACTTTATTATCCCAGAGGGAAATTGTTCTTGGCTGTACAGAACCATAAAAACACATGCAGGTACGGTATACATAAGAATTTTAATTATATATTACTCTCATCAAAATTCAATATGAAAAGAAAAGTAAAGCTGACAAAATTTACATATAACATCAGATGCATCATTCAACCACAAGCAAGAATTTAATTACAAGACCCTTAGAGTTATGCTAGTTGGTAAAAAGCTTCTTTTACATCTTTCTTTCTTTTTTCTTAGAGGTACATATCTTCTACTGGGTGGTCTTACAATTTGCGTGGAAAGGGGGTGTGATAGGTCGTTTATAATGCTGTTAATCTTTTTTATACTTGTGGTCTTATAGATCTACATCAATTCTTGTAAAATCATATCCAGAGATCTTGCTGGCTTTCTTAATGGTTCTGTCAAATTTTCTTTATCTTTCACCCTAAAATTCCCAGCCCAGCAGCAAATGCAAAATAGTAACACGCTTTCAATCATAGAATGGTATAAAAGGGACATAATCTTATTATCAATACAAAAACTTCTTAATTTCCTTATAAGGAACATTCTTTGATCTATTTTTTTATGCGCAAGAGCAGCGAGGGGATGCCAGTCAAGCTTGTTATCAATTGTTATTCCAAGATATTTGTAAGAGTTTACAACCTCCACCTCCTCATCTTTAAAAAATAGTATACCTGTCTAAGACAATCACCTGTACAAATGACCACTTCCGACTTCCCCCTTTGCATTTTTTTACATTATGATGACATTGTCCAAGACATTCTCCTGTCTAAGACAGCCACTTTTCTCCTCAACGATGGTTGGTCATCTTGAGCAGTTGTGATTTTATACAGTCTAGAAATCACAGAGAACACACACATAGTGAAACAGGCACATAGCAAAGAGATTTTACAGATCCCAAATTTTTTCTTGTGCATATCGACTACACAGTGTGAGACTCCATCGTACGTCACTTTTCAAAATTATGTATGGTGGAGTCTTACATAAATCAGCCATATACATTTTTTTGTATTTAAAACACTTACATAGCGAAATTTGTTCATAACGTAAAGATTTCTGTATCCAATCGATTTCACTATGCGCATGCTAGAGTTTAACTTTACGTTCTCTGACTGACTTGTGTGTTACAGGTGAGAACTGCCACAGAGGTGCTGCACTAGGGGCTCTTCTGGCCGCCAGTGCTGTCAATCATGGCTCAGAGGTACCAGCAAAACTCAAGGATGGTCTACATTCATTAAAAGGAGGCATCGAAGTGGCAGTTAAAGAAATGAATGAAGGATTCTGACTGAGCTATTTATAGTATATTAATAGTTTAACTTAAATCAGTGCCTGAATACTTGGGTCTAGTTTTCAGCTCCCTTTCAACGTGATTCAAATTTGAACTGAAAACCTTCTATGATGGTTTTAGTTGTTTTTCTGAATGAAAGAACCTTCTCAGCATTCTGACTACCATTTACTCAATTTTCTATTATAGACCGAATGCTTTGAGAGTTTGGTCAAAGACCCTTTTTTTTATATACTACTAGTCAGAATATGGGTTTTTCTTTTTAATCTCGCCCGTATCCAACTTCCCAACCGACCCCTTTCTGATATTACAGAATTGAGCTTGACGATATTACAGAATGACTACTAAACTTTGTTATGTCAGCTTTCACCTGTGTGTGAACTGTTTTATTACTTAATATATTCTCTCAATGTGATATTCTTTGGTAGATCTGATTAGGTGTTTGAATTGGCAGGTGTATTTTGGTTATATTAGATCCTCTTTATACATTTGTAAACAGAAACCGAAATCTGCAGGACCTCCAGATTTTCTTCGGTTTAGCCGAGTTTTTGATATTTGGAGAAGTTGCTCAAATGGAAGAGGAAAAAATTGAAGATTGTATTTTTCTTCATTTAACTGCTGGTTTTAGATCAACAGTGTTCGATTTAAGTGAACTCTCATGTATGCTTCAAGGACAGGCACTTCATGCCACCTCAGTCAGGGGTTTGTAGTGACACGGCAAGCTGGAAGTTTTGTCTTCGCTGTGTACTTTGAAGTGTTTTGTTTGTGTTACACACTCTATTAGGGGCATCATAAGTTCCTTACACACAAGAAAGGAGTGAGAAAATATTACTTTTTAAATACGACTATCCATGAGTGTGTGGGTTAAGTCAGTCTGTTTTTGTCATTTTGTTGTTTATTACTCGCATTGTCTCAGGAAATATATCAGAATAAAAGGGTAAAAATGTCTTTTATGTATGTCCGGCAAGTTGATATTTAACAGGTGTTGGGTGGTTTGAGGCAGTAACTGCGGTTAGGCTACCGGACTCGTAATCGTGAGGTTGCTGATTCGAGCCGCGAGCCTGACGCTTTGTCCTTGGGAAAGGCACTTTACACGAATTTTCCCTTCTTCACCCAGGTGAAAATGGGTACCCAGCTATAGACAGTGAAAGATCCTGTCAGTTTGTTAGTGTTTGAGCACGTAACCAGCTGCTTGCACTGTATGCTTCCCGGGATGCTGAAAATGTTTCTGAGTGTTCTATGGTCTGCTGGGGTAATAAAATAGTGTAAAGCGCATAGAGCTTGCTTTTAAGTGGGGACATGCGCTATACAAATGCTATTTATTATTATATTAGCGAAGGTTTTTTTAATTTGTGTCTTGCTCATACTCATACCAATCTATTTTGTGTGTGTTCACTGTTGTACATTGTGTATATACATTCATTACATAAAAATACACAAAGCTGTTTTCAAATTCATGTTGTAATTTAATTCACTCAAGCTACTTGAATGATGACTTTATTGTTTGAGTTTAATATTTTGACAATTTCAGATTTCATGTAGTATGCAGAGAAGTACAACTCAATTTTTGATTGCTTTTATGGCTTAATAAAAAAAAGTGGATGAGAAAACGAGAGAGAATTACAGTTTTGTTTAGGTCTTCCTCGTTTTGTTTGCCCAGATCAGTACCTGTTTTAGGATCGTGCTTTTAGTTAGGGATGGTCAGGTACTGATACCCAGTGCCACGGTTCTACCGGAGGCGGTGTCAGTACCGTCACCAGGCCTCCAGTACCTGCTCTGGGAAGGAACCAACACTAACGGGGTTTTTTTTACCAGGCCACGGGAAGTGTGCAGCGTGTAGGCCTAGGCCTGGTTCTAGCAGCTGTGACGTCAGATGCACAACGCAGCGGGTGACCTTGATACATGACTTCAGCTTCAAAATTGATAATCAAAAACGAAGTTTGCTTAAATTTAATATGGCATCAAATCAGGTTCCACGGGAGCCACTTTGCTTATTTTGATACGCTGATTCTGAAAATGAAATCAATTTTTAGTGACAATAATCATTTTTTAAAGTCTACATACATGCAAAGTTCAATCCTGCGCGGCGTCAAACTTCAAAGGTATTTTGCATCACAGTTGGCCTGTCCAATTCTAACGTTTGTGTGTGGGGGGTGGGGGGTGCAAGGGGCACTGATCGTGGCATTAGACGCATACGCGAAAACTGTGACGTCACCTCCTGGTGTCACTACCAGTACTGGCGGTTCTCGTCACCCACTGCTGAGAAAGTACCGACACTGGTTTTCACCAGTACCGCCCAGCACTACTGTTAGCTCTCCATCAATTGGTGCAGCCATTTTGAAGAGAGACGTTAGATTCATATATATATGTCTTGCCTCTTTAAATAATCATACAGTGTTGAAAGAGGGGCATTACACTCTCCGTACCACACTGAAAACCTTTTGTCTTTGGGCTGAGATATTTTGGTCCTCAAATGTTATAGAGCCCTTACAACTTTTTCTGCTTTTTTTAAGTTCTTTATAATATTTATATGTTGAGATAATAACAGCAACAACAATAATAATAATAACAATAGTAATAATAATAATGATAATAATTATTATTATTATTATTATAATAATAATAGGCCTAATAATAAAGAATTGCATGTTGTTATCGATCCAGAAAGAATTGCATTTGTGTATGCATTTCCAATTTCTGAAAAATGCTCAATCCATATATTACAGTCAAAGAATCACATTTTATGGTTTCTGAAATTTGAAATTAATACTCGTAGATCTTTATATAGAGTGTATGGACTGTTCCAAGTATGTCTATTTATAACATTACAGCTCTTTCTGCACAGATGATCTTCATATTCACTGAATATGCTCACAGAGGCGTTTATTTGAATCATGAGGCGGGAAGGCATTTAATATAAAATTTAACAGAGTCTCTTCGTCTATCTTCTTGGAAACTGTCTTTTGCTCAACCTGGGTCGGTCCTAACACCAGGGCTGAAATAGCCCCCTCCTTTCACTGATAGAGGGCATAAAACATTTTACGTTTCATTTACAGTCAATCGACTCTCTTTCACTAAAAGGCTCAGAGCTTGTGGCCTCTTTACAAAGTTGAAATTAAATCTGGAACTGCTGATGGGGGCATGCTTGTCGGGAGATATGGTGCTGGCCTCTTGGGCTGAAAAAAAGAATGCCTGGTTCAGTTTCCCAGTTAGCTCTACATCTGGCTTGACTGTGAGACAACTTGAACTTAATTTTTTTTTCTTACTTTTTTTAATCTACTGTCCTGGTGGTTAGAAAATGTCACCGGTAGGTCCTCAATCTTTTATTTCCCTTTGTTGATCATGTCTGTCCGTCTTACTCTTTATCTGCACTAAATGATGGCCGTTATTGTTTCGATGTACTTTTTTCACTCAAACTCAAACCAACGTTGGGTGCTCTAGTGTGGTCTGCTTCTTCTTTCCTATCAAACATCTATTGTCCTTATCTCCCCATGTTCTTTTTTATGTTTGTCACTCTCTTGTAACACCTCTAATCTTCTGGCGCTCATATGACCTTATGCAGTTGCGAGCGCCGTAAAACCTCTACTAAAACAAACAAAAACCAACGTTTCTGATCGCAGAGTAGATGGGATCGAGTAGCAGGCTGATTTATCACTGTCATGTTCATACTGTGCCGGAATAGCAATAACATAGGGGGAACTGCTGCTTTTTTCCCCTCATCCTTATTATCGTCGTTTTTTCTCTACTTCTTTTGTTTGTTTGTCACTCTGTTGTGAACTGCTACATGTATCCATGTGCCTTAATAATGATAGTCGAAGCAGACGTGCTTTTGAGGCTTGAGAGGTGTGCAGAGTAAGCCCGATCCCTTGTTTGGACTTCTCTGATGACATCCACCTCTTGGGCGCTCATATATGACCGTATCCAGCTGCGAGCGCCGTAAAATAACTAAAACGAAAGAAGCAGCGTGCGTGTAGCAGCTCTGGTGGCGTCAATATCATAACCACCGCCACCGTGAACCAGCGAGAACACGAGTAGAAATGACAACAGCAACGTTTACATTGTACCTAAAGAAACAGAACCACAAACAACAACAACACGCACTCCATGGACACCTCCATCACAATTTCAACCACATTAACACACAATAACAACAATAACTGGCCCCTGATGTGCCCGGGCATCGGAGGAGATTGCAAGAATCTAGAAAGCTTACGGAAAGATTGGACTGCTTCTCCAAACGTTACCAGAAATACAAGTGAGCCTTGCGAGAAGCAACACAGTGTAAAATATAATCAGAGCTATAAAAATTAAGCTTAGACTCTATTACCCCTTAAACTTAAACCTGCTGCGGCTACACATACGCGCGAGCACACACCATTTTATACACAAACAGACGCACCTACTACTACTACTACTACTACTACTACTACTACTACTACTACTACTACTACTACTACTACTACTACTACTACTACTACTACTACTACTACTT